TTTGAGACAGGGTCTCCCTGTAGCCCCAGCTGTCCTGGAACTTACTATGTAGACCAGGCTGGCCTTGAACTCACAGATATCTGCCTGCCTCTGCCTCCCTAGTGCTGGGATTAAAGGCGTGCACCACCATGCCCAGCTACAAGTTGGGGGGGGGGGGGGAGAGATGGTTCATTGGTTAAGAGCACTGACTGCTCTTGCAGAGGACCCAGTTTGGTTCTCAGCACCTATACAGCAGTTAACAACCATCTGTAACTCCAGTTCCAGGGGATTTGACACCTTCTTCTAACCTTTGTGGGTATTGTATGATACAAGTGACACACGCAGGCAATATACACATAAAATAAAAATAATAAAATACTTTTTAAAGTAAATTAGAGCTCTTTCAGTAAATTAGGCCTCTTTTTAGCCAAGGACAGAGATAAAAGCTTCTGTGGTTGAGAGAGAAGGCCTTCACCACACACTGACTCTGCCTATAATGAGATCTTCTTGGACTTTGTAACTGCCACAATGTGAGAAATAAACTTCTGCTGTTTATAAATTAAAAAATAAATTGGCTGATTGTATGGTTCAGTGGCAGGCTGAGTACCTACTTTGGATATGTGAGTCTTTGGGTTCAATCCTCAGATCATTAAAATTAAGTGGACTATTCAACTACCTACTTGTTGCAACTTTTCAGACAAACCATAACAGCAAAAGATACTTTTAAACTTAGCACAATTCTGGAAATTACCCCTGATGGCCTTCCCTTGACCACCTTTTCCCTCCCCCCAACTTTGAGGGCTGCATAAATGCCTGACAGACTCTCCACCTCTGAGCCACACCCCTAGTCCCACATTTACTGCTAGTACTGAAGAAAAAGAGGCAAGAGCAACACATCACATTTTCTCTCTTATGTTGTTAAACAGCCTTGATTTTTGCCCAGACAAAGCCACAGACTAATAATATTGAAAAGGCATCGCAAGAAGTATGCCCAGAGATTCAGACAGATGCACAGAACTTATTTCTGAGAAGTACTGGCTCACAAAAAGAACTAAAGAACGTTTTTCATTCTATTTTTTGGTCTTTTTTGAGACAGGGCCTCCCTGTAGCCCCAGCTGGCATGAAACTCACTACGTAGACCAGGCTGGCCTTGAACTCACTAGAGGTCTGCCTGCCTCTGCCTCCCAAGTGCTGGGATTAAAGGCGTGCCCAGCTCATTCTACTTCTTAAAGCCTCTAGTATTAAAAACGTCCTACAAATTATCTGTTATATACTCAATTAAATATACATTTCAAGTGGGTTATTTAATAGTAACAATTTAGGGAAGTCAGATGCACAAAAAAGGTACCTATCTATACTTAAGTAAATGGAGGAATAGATTTTCAAGTATATACATAAAAAAGTTAAATATCAAGCACTCAGGCCCCCCTGGGTTTTAATGCTAGTGCAGTCATTCTATTTTGTTAAAAAATTTAAAGTTTAAACTTGCTTCCAACCTTAATAATTTCCCAACAAAATGGCATTTAAAGTGAAGTAACAGCAACATTTCACTTACCACTGGGTCAAGACAGCTAAATATGGCACCAAAAATTAGCATCTTGCCAATTTTGACATTCACAGGTAAAGCTGCAAGGTGCTGGCCCAGTGGAGTCAGCCTGGGCTCATTTGGCTCACAAGCGCCAATCTTTCGCAATAAATTCATTGCATTGCTGATTACTTGAAGCTGGGGAGGATCTAAGGCTCTAGAGAGGAAGTCTTCAGGAGAACCAAGATCACATTTCTACAGTATGAAAAGATCACAAAAAATAAATGCTATCTGAAGACAATACACAAAGTACTCAAACTTTGAACTCAGGTGTGAATTTAGTAGAATCCTGGACAAAGAGGGTAAATGTGTAAGGCCATCCCACTATTTTTCACAGTGTACATGTTGGGGGGCAGAAGTGGGAGCAAGAATGGAAATCGCCCAGTCCATATTTTTAGTTTCTTCATTAATGATTTTTATAGTTAATATCTAAGAATGAAGGGTATGTCACATCTTTCATCCCAGGACATCCTTGGCCTAGATTAGGGTTTCAGTCTCAGCAGGCCTCATAATCTGGGTTCGGTGGGTATTTTAAGAATTGTCCCATGCATGGCCAGATATTCAATAGCATCCTTCATCTCTACACACTACATACCAGCATTCAATCCCTGCCTAGTTATATGACAACCAAAAAGGTGTCTAGACAATGCCACAAGTCCCCTGACAGGCAATACTGCCCCCAGCAGAGAACACTGATCTAGGTTATGAGGCTGCTGTATCTATGCAGTACAAGCATCTATAAGCAAAGTCAAAGCAGTAGATTGACTCAGAGCAGATGGGAAAGACATTCGGTAAAGAAAAGTAAAATGCTTGAGCATTTAAAGTGAAGGTTAAAAAAAAAAAAACATTTAGATCTTCAATTCTTTTCCTAATAGAGGAGCAAAGAAGTCACTGAGTTCCTTTGGGAGTACCATAATATGAAGACATAGTTCCTCCAGAGGTACACGCAAGATTTCAGGGACAGAATAGTCCATAAAGCCTTCAAATCTGAAAAAAAAAAATATCAGTAATGGTATCCAATACTGACGTGTGAGTGCTTGAAATTTCTAGTGCTGTGCCTTACCTTTCTCTCGTGTATATCCGAAAGCAGAAGCCATCTCTGACCCTCCCGGCTCTGCCCTGGCGCTGCAGAGCGCTAGCTTTACTGACAAAAGTCTCCACCAAAGAACTCATCTGACTGCTTTCATGGTACCTAAAGAAATGTTTAAGGACAATTGACTTAAAGTAAAATGACAAAAAGATTTTGGAAGTACTGAACTCAAAATTAGGCTGAATGTAGGCTAAAAACCAGAAAGTCCATTACTATTGTGGATAGATTTTTGTTTTTGAGACAGGGTCTCCCTGTAGCACCAACTGGCCTGGAACTTACTATGTAGACTAGGTTGGCCTGCATTGCACAGAGACCTGCTTGCCCCTGCCTCCTTGGTATTAAAGGTGTGTGCCACCATGGCCAGCCTAACAAACACTTCTTAAATCATGTTTCCCAATTAAGTAACATAACAAACTGCTTACTAAATCTGATACTACCAAATTACAAGCTCTGATATAAAAGAAAATAATCACCCTTTCTCAAACTAATCCCACCAAGGCGTCTTTATCATTTTGGTGGAATACTTATGAATTATGCAACAAAAACTGCATTGAAATTGAGAAGTGCCACCTGCCAACATTACAGTAAAAAAAACCTTTTACAAGATACATTTAAACCCTGAGACTGTTTTCTCTAAAGATATAAACAATTTATTTTATTTTTTATGTGTATGTATGTATTGCCTACATGTATGTAAGTGCACCCATGTCATGCAATGCCCACGGAGGACAGACAGTCATTGGATCCCCTGGAACTGGAGTTACAGACAGTTGTTAGCTGCCATGTGGGTGCTGGGATTTGAGTCTAGATCTTTTACAAGAACAGTCAGTGTTCTTAACCACTGAGCCATCTCTCCAGTCCCAAAATACAAGGAATTAAGAATTAATTTTCTATTGGACAGTAATCTTTTTCAATGCTGGAGTTTCCTAATATGGGTAGTATATAGACTATAATTAACTAAAGGTAGTCTCCCTTACTTATGCAATATAAGTATTAATACATTTAGAAAGCAGTAATCTTTCTGCTAAGGATTCAGTTAGGGTTACCTGCCATGTTCCTTACTATATTAGGCATTTGCAATTAGGAAACTTTCATTTTCCCCATTAACAATATGATGGAACTGATGATTAGGAAGGCTATATTTTGTTCAAGATTACAGATCAGAGATTTAAATCCAGTTCTCCAAAATCCATGCTTTTATTACAATCCCATAAACAATGCTTTCGTTAAACTATTTTATAAGCAAAAAAATGTACATAAATTTATATTGTGAAATTCTGCTCAGTACTTTTCTAAAGGTGGTATGCTGGCATTATTTTCAGTAAAACTCATGATATAAAAATCTGAAATTTATTCTCAGACATTTTTGTTATTTGTTTTTTGAGATAGGGTCTCACTATGTACCCCTGGCTGGGCAGGAACCTGCTATGTAGAACAGACTAGTCTTGAACTCACAGAGATCTGCCTGCCTCTGAGTGTATTACCATACTAAGCCCTTATTCTCAGATAGTTTAATTCCTACAGTTTTGCTATGGCTTTTTGCAGAATTACAACATTTGGGATTCTGATTTTCCCCTATATGATTCTGTAATTTCTCCAAAAACCTCAAGAGTTCCTAATTCTTTGCAGATTAAAAAGTTTTCAATTTGAGAATTTAAACTTACTTATTTTCTTTTGTCCTTCCAGTATCAATGACAAATACAACATCAGGAATAGTGATACCCGTCTCTGCAATATTTGTTGCTAAAACAATCTGAAAATAAACAAAAAGCTAAAACACTTGGACAGCTCTCAGCACTGTATCATGTAATTTCTTTTGACGGAGCTGATGAATTTTTAAGTGAATTTCAGGGGAGCAGTTGGGGGCAAAAGAAAGCCAATTTTAATTTTAGTCACAAAAATTCAGACTGTATACTGTATTTGTTGTTGTATAATTTTAATATGCTTTGTAGTTTCATCAGCTCAGTTTAATGAGACTAATGTTAACTGATTTTTAAAGATTTATTTTAAATTATAGTATGTGTGTCTATGTATGGGGGTATATGCAGGTGTCTGAAGAGGCAAGAGATGTTGGATCCCTATGGAGATGGAGTTCTAGGAGGTTGTAAGCCATACTAGGTGGGTGCTAGGAACTGAACTTGGGTTTTCTGTAAGAGCAGTACTCACTCTTAACTGCAAAGCCATTTTTCCAGTCCATGTTACACATTTTTATTACAACAAAAACATCATCCCCTAATTCTAGTTAGTTATCCTAAAAATGACAGAAATAGATCGGGGAACAAGGTGAGAGAATTGAGGCAGTTCAGTACAACCCTGCATGATTAGTAAGAAAAAAAATAACACTGTTACCAAAAGAAGAACTGGGTGCTTGTTCTGGCTGTTACTTCTTAGCTTTGGGGGCTTGGGAAGTCACTTACCAATGGGCCTCAATTCCCTCAGCTATAAAGGAGGTATAGAAACAGTGATGGTTGAATAGTACAATCTTGCATACTTTCTATGTTGTCGAATCCTTGGAGGTAAGATATTTGGGAAACTGTCAAATCCAGTAAGTACTGATCTATTTCAACTGTGTATTTCAATACTGAATGACCACTCCCAGACTGTTAGGAGGTTGCTGGAACCTATGTGATCATTCTATTTCAGTAGTGTTAAAAGTTTTTGTTAAGAGGTGGAACTCTTTCTTACAGGAAAGCCCAAAGTTAAGCAGACGCAGGATCCCTGAAATTCTTAGAGCAGTTAGAAAATCATGAGTTTAATCCAACCCTTTAAAAAATCACAGTGAAGCTGAGTTTAGCAATGAGGACTCAGGCCTTGTGCATTCATCAGGCTCTTTTCAGAGCTCCGTGCTCCCCATAATGTGCCTACACTGTGCTCTAAAAAATTTCCTCTGAGTGCAGATATAACATCTGAGAAATTCTTTGTCAAGAAACTCTTCACTCCAAACCATGATCAGAAAGCACTGGTTATTTTCATGAACTAATGGTCGATGTAACTCTAATCAGGAATTAAAAGCTGGGGTTGGGGATGTAGCTCAATGGCACAGGACTTGTTTAGAATGAGCAAGGTTCTAGATTCCATTATTAACACATGGATGAATGAATGATTAAGGTTGTAGAACCAATAGCCTAGAGAGCAAGGATCCTCACAGGATCTAAGTAACTCTTGACAATCTATCATGACTCCTACATGATGACTTCTTGGGAAAAAGTAGTCATTTTTTTAAAAAAGCAAAATATATACTATATTTTTCAACTATTCCCCTCAAAAATTTTTTTTATTAGCATATACTATAAATATTCAAATGCTTCAATTTTTCAAAAAAGTTTTTAAAAAAGATTTATTTTTTGGTTTTTTGATTCAGGGTCTCCCTATAGCCCTAGCTGGCCTGGAACTCACTATATAGGTCAGTCTGGCCTTGATCTCAGATATCTGCCTGCCTCTGCTTCCTAAGTGCTGGGATTAAAGGCATGCACCACCAGGCCTAGCCTTATATTATTTTTTGTAAGTGTGTGTGTATTATCTGTGCCTGTGGATATAGGTACTATAGGAGGCCAAAGGAGCTGAATGCCCAGGATGGAGCTGGAGTTACTGGCAACTGTGAGTCAACCTACATGGGTGCAGGGAACTGAACTTGGGTCCTTGGCAAGAACAGTACATACTCTTAACCACTGAGTCACCTCTCCAGCCCCCAAATGCTTCAATTTTAATATTGGGTTTACTTCTGATTATGTTAAGCTGCAGAAAACTTGTAGTTAGCCATGTATATGGCACTGAGTAATTTTCTTAGAGGATAAAACTGTAGAATGCTTTCATGAAATGTTCTCAGATCACATATATCTACTGTTGTGAACTTTACCTTCCTGATTCCTGGAGGAGGAAGTGTAAACGCTGCTGCTTGATCTTGAGTTGAAAGAATAGAATGCAGAGCTATCACTTTATATCTGAAAGTTAAAATCATAGTTCTTAGCAAGAGTTTCTCTAGAAGACACTGCAAAGAATAACAAAATTTATTTGCATATAGAAAGCAACTTTTAGTATTTGATCATTAAAAAGTTTAAACAGAATTTCACAGAGTTGTCTAATAAAACCTCACTTGCCAAAGGGGGGGATAATATGAATAAATAGCAGGCTAAAATTTTCTTTTCTGAAATGCTTGGGGCCAGAAATGTTCCATATTTTAGAGCATTTTGAATTTTGGGTGTTGGGATTAGAGATGGCTAAAACCTTTTTAAGTTTGATATTAATATGGTAACTATGACAATAGCAATAAATGATATCAGAACAGATAAATAGCTATTTCAATAGGTATGGTTGATAAGTTGCAAAATTTTATTGGATTTCATAGGACTCAGTGAGTGAGGGGAAGGGAGTTACTATCTATAATTAACCACAGGATTCTGTGCTCAATCACATTTAAAATATAATAAATACAGATATGGTACCTATACATTTTTAGTAGATAAAATGCTATAATAGATATGTTAATAAAACAAACACAAAATCCATTTCACCTTTTTTTTTTCTAAAGACAGGATCTCACTGGGTAGCCCTAGATAGCCTGAATTCACTATTAAGACCAAGTCAGCCTCTGCTTCCCAAGTGCTGGGACTAAAGATGTGTACCACCATACCCAGCCTCATGGACATTTTCAACAAGTTGAAAACAACTGAAAAATTCTGATCAAAAGTTTTAATGTATCAAGCCTTTTTCTCTTTTAAAATTACAAAGAATATAATGAAGATTTGGAATGTAGTTACCGTTCAGAATAAAATCTTCTGTCATTTGATAGGAGATCATACAACTGTTGAATATGAGCAAGGCCAGGTAAAAAGATCAATACTGCTCCTTCAATATTTCTGAATTGGGGACTTTTGTCTGAAATGTTTAAGAAGATACAATATTCAAAATAAGATAAGGAACAGCATATAAAAGATTAATACCTCTAGCTGGTAGAAATGTTTTACCAACACAAACAGAAACATACCTAAATATACAAGAAGTCCCAAAATGAGATCCAGGTTGATTTTATGAGGGTTCATGTAGAGAATAGCATGCTGAGTACGGCTGCTATACTTTTGGTAAAGTGGATTTAATTCAGCACTTGCTCCAGTCTGAATTAGGATGTATTCCTAAAAGAAACCCAAACAGAAAGCAGAACAAAAACATTATGTATTTTTATCACACAAACAAGGAAAAAGTTGGTATCTGCATCCACTTAAAGGTATGTTTCCTCATTATCATGTTGCTAAAATACAGCAAGAGTATACTTAATTATGTCTGAGATAGGATCTTGCTGTGTTGCCTGGGCTAGTCTCCAGCTTATGAGCTCAGGAGATCCTTACACCTCAGCATTGTGAGCTGGGACTACAGCCAGTACCACCAGGCCTAATTTGATAGTGAAGTTTTAGAAATGGGAAAAGCACCATGAAACTTAATTTTTTTATACTTTAAATTTCTCCAGCTCCTAAGAACAGCAAAAACCTAGGTGCCTTGCTATGTTCATACAAAAATAATTATAGAAAAGCATAATTATATATGTATTATTCTGTGACAATTAGCAGGCTCAAAGAGGCTATACTAACTCTAACACAAGGTGGTTTATACCTTCTCATTCCTTCTACACTCTACCCTGGCTACCAAGTTCCCATTATCTCCTCTAAAAGAATTATAACTTTTCTGAATCTTCCTTCAGTTTTCCATTTTTATCTTTTGGGTTTTAGAGAAACATTTTAGGTTGTGCTGTCTTGGTGTATCTATTTAGCTGAAAGATAAACTAAATTCATGTTTCCAAAAAGTTTATATACATGCATGAAGTACAATCAAGTAAGTACCAGAGATGTAATGGAAACACTGGATCTGGTACCATGGGCTAAAAAGGAGTGACATAGCTTTTGTGATTATTCTGCAATCACATAATTAACACTAACCCCAGCAAAAACTGTCTGCCTTGAATAGCTTTATTACAGAGCTATGGTTGGCTGCTGCCAGGATACAAGCTATTAAGAAAAGCAATAGCAAAGGTCCAGATTTAGAGACTGCATCATCCTGATGACCTATGATGAGACACTTAAGAGAAAAATCACTTAACGTATCAATCAGTGCTACAAAGCTGTTCTGAAAACTATTTCTTATTTACACAGTCCTTGATTTTGTACCTAATGACCCCAAAGAGGGTAAGAAGACAATAAATTAAAGCCATCTCTGGGCTCAAGAGATGGCTCAGTCATTAAGAGCACTTGCTGCTCTTGCACCGGATGTGGGTTCGGTTCCCAACACCCACATAAGGGCTCACAACTGCTCCAGGGTATCTCGTGCCCTTTTTCTGGCCTCTGTGGGCATCGCCAGGCATACATGTAGCATACATACTGTAGCAGGAGGCCTCCAAAGATGGCGTGGACCCAGAGCCCTGGGTTTTAGCAAGAATTCACTTCTTGGTCCACAAATAGCCTGCCAAAAGGAGCCCATGCCTCCATACCCTGCTTGCAAGCCCAGTGACTGCTGATAGAATGTGTGGCACAGACCAATCAGAAAACGATATGCTGACTAAAGGGACTTGGGGGCAGAGAAGAGGGAAATATAAGGCCTGCCCCCTCCTGCATTAAATGAGTCTGCAGCATCTCACCTAGTGCTTGCTTCTACCTGACTCCCGGAGTCTGTGTGTTGTGACTCTGTGCCTCTTTCCGCCCCCTCAATCAGCAGGGGACCCGATTGAGGTCAGGGTCTTCACAGCTGGCCTGAGGAGAATCCGCAACAATATACAAGCAGGCAAACACTCATACACATAAAATAAAAATAAGTAAATCTTTTTTACTTATTTAAAAATATTATTTTTATTTTATGTGTATGAGTATTATTGCCTGCATGTACTTAAGTGTACCCCTGTCATGCAGTGCCCGTGGAGGTCAAAGAGGGAGTTGGATCCCCTGAAACTGTTCCTCTTTTACCAAATTATACTTAAATTCACTGTGACTTTGAAACTCATATGGCTAACTATACCCTGGCTATCATTACTCGATAGCTTTCAAAATATGTCCTTTTTTACCTGACATTTTCTTACTCCCCCAGCTTTGCTTGTAACATTAATAGTAATTTCTTCTTCCTCCTCCAGAAATTTCTGACAATATTCTGAGTCTTTCTCCAGTACAAAGCCGGTTTCTTCTATTATATCTTCAAGATGGAAAACCTGCAGAGTATGGCATATAAAAGAGTTGGCTGAGAGTCACCTCAGTAAATATCATTTTAAAGAGAACAAGGAGATTATTGCCTTTTGAGGGAAAAGATGTATTAATTGGGAGTGAAGAACTGATAACGTCTCAGGGCACATTACATTTTGGTATGTTTCTTATATTAAAATGGTTAAAAGAGTAGACTTTATCAGCTGAACTAAAAGAGTAGATGCATTAAGAGCATTAAGCTAACCAGAACACCACCTTCAATCTAAATATGATTTTCTATGAAAATAAGTTTTAGGTCCTCAGGACTGTCATTGAAATACTAGCCCACACTTTTACATCTTCTCTACCTTCAGGCAAAGCAGCACTAGCCATCTGATTCTCTAAGACCTTCCTGGACTTGCATACTAATATCTATGAATGGTTCTGGGCTCAGAATATAAGGGCCTGTGTTCTGGGGAAACTTTGGTGTCAGTGATGTTTCTGCTCACACACATAATACTATAAGGAAAACTTACCTCAACAGGGTAACTTCTTCCTGAAATTCTGAGAATAGGACAATGTGTGAAATATGTGGAAAACTTTTCACTGTCCACAGTGGCACTCATCAGAATCAAGTGTAGGTCAGAACGTTTCTGCAAAATTTCCTTCAAGATAATTAGTAGGAAATCTGACTGGACACTTCTTTCATGAACCTAATAGAAAGGCAATATAAAAATTAATCATTTAGGGTCTGAAAAGAGACTTAAATAACCTGAAACTCGAATCCACTAAAAGGTAATATTCAAATATATTCAGTACATGTGAAGTGATGGAGCTGTGTTTCAAATATTCTCAGAATTAAATTCAAGTTTATTCTCTAAAATTGAAACCAATGAAAAATCAACATATAATGAATACCATTAACCACTAGGACTCTACCCCATGAGACAGTTTGGAAATCATACCACGTGTGGCTGCCAAGATTAGGATAACTGTCAGATTTCATTTAGAAGTAAGTATGACTTCTAACTCTCCAATGCTAATATAAAACTGTATTATTACCATTACAGAAGACAGGTGCTTTATCTACTACACAGAAAAAAGGGCATGAGCAGTAGGAATCTGCCTCTATCATTATTCAGAAAAAGGTTTTTCGGCCCTTCCAACACATGCATTTATTTTTAATCCCAGCACTAAGGAGGCAGAGACAGGCTGTGAGATTAAGGCCAGTTTGGTCTATATAGCAGGTTCCAGGGGGGCTAAAGCTAAAGGAAACTGTCAAAAAAACAGAACAAAACAAGCTCCCCCAAACCCCAACACATGCATTTAAAGACTGACACTGTCAACTTGATGTAGAGCACGGATGACCATCATTGTCAGAACCTAACAAATATCTGCAAAGCGTATGTCTTTTTTCTAACCTTCTGTACTCCAACAGATTTCTATTCTACTTTACAACAGATTGAGGATAGCATACAAAGATAAAATACATCAAGATAATAGGCTAGGTTTCATAATCATCTGTTGGAAGGCAGACAGTAGTGCTTAAGTTGTTCACACTCTGGAATCAATTACTTCAGTTCTTGGCTTGACCACTTACAGTTTAACTTTGGGTACGTTATTTAAATATCTCTACGTCTATTTATTCTCCCATAAAAGTAAGGTAAAAATAATAGAAATTTCATAGAGCTGTGTGACAATCAAATCAGATAATGGTAAATCTTTAGAACAACGCCTAACAAACACTAAGTACTGAGCAAGCAGATCTCTGAGTTCAAGGTCATCCTGGTCTACATAGTGAGTTCAGGACAGCTGGGGCTACAGGGAGACCCTGTCTCAAAAAGACCAAAAAAATAAAATAAAATAAAATAAATCTAGTTAGAAGGTACTGTATAAGAAGGCTTCAAATTTTATTTGATGAGCAGCTAATCCAGACAGTCAAGAGAACTTGTCAATGATTTTGAAAAGGATAAATTTGGGGGATAGATAAGGGAGGAGCAAAACGGGGAAAAAGTGTGTAGGTCAAGGTACAGATGCACGTAGCAAGTCATGGTGACTACATAGGGCCATTGGTTCAGTTCCAAGCACTCACAATAAACACAAGTTAAAAAAAAAAAAAATCACAGTGGTAGGAAGGTTCTTAACACCGTTCAGAACTAACAAAAACAGTGACTTGGGCCTGGGATGGGGGGATGCACAAGAGATGAAGCTGAAAAGGTTCTCAGTTATAAACAAGATATAAACAAGGATAAGGAGTTGAGACTTCACTCTAATTAATTATTTCCTGGTGATTAAAGTATCATAAAGCAGAAGAACCAGAGGTCTAAGTTTTATTTGAAATTGAAATATGAAGGCAAGAGCCCCAACAAGCTAACTCTCGAGCTGGCTGGTCACCATGGCACATGTCTTTAATCCCAGGACAATGGAAGATGAGGCAGGAGGACTGTGAGCTAAAGGACAGCCTGAGCTACACAGTAAAACTCTGTCACACAAAAAAGGGTAACTCTGGCCTCTGGCTACAATGCAGAGAACATGGCAGAGGAAAGCAGAAAGCAGGAAGTCTGACTGATGAGAGGCTTTCGTGATAACAGAAGCGATGCCAGTGACCCTCAGCAGGAGTAAGATCATTGAATTTGGAGAAGAGTGAATGCACTTGAAGGCAAAATAAACATGACCAAGTGATCGAATTTACAGAATGTGGGCAAAAATCTTGAATTTTTTGACTTTTGGGTTTGACTAAGTGATTATGGAACTCATTCACTGAGACTCAGAAGTGAAGTGCAGGAAGTTACAAGGATGAGCATGGAAGATGCTAAATTTTGGAAATGCTGAATTTGAAGTTCTTGAGATGGAAAGCATCTAGAAAGCAGTTGGATATTATGTCTGAAAGTCAGGAGAGAGATACCTTGATGGGTCGGTCACACTGCAAAACTTCATCAGAAAGAAAGAAATCTATCCAAGTAAGGACTTAAAATGTATACCAGTAAGGACACCTTGTACTGGTGGTCAACAAGAAGTTAATTCCTGTACCAACTACAAACTCCAACAAATCATACAGTTTCTAATGATGAGGCCAGAAGAAGTATTCTCCTGAGCATAAAAACATCAAAACATCCTCTAGAGCTGGAGAAATGGCTGAGCAGTCAAGAACACTGGCTACTCTTGCAGAGAACCCGGGTTTGGCTCCCAGTACCCACATGGTGGCTAACAACCATCTATAACTTCAGTGTCAAGAAAGATGATGATCTCTTCTGGCCTCTGCAGACACCAGGCATACATATGGTGCCCATACAATCATAGAGGCAAACACTCATACACATAAAAATACATTTTTAAAAAAAGTCTTGTATAATATTATGAACTGCCCTCAAATTTCTTGCATTGTTATGTGTTAATGAATTTCACTGGGCTTCTTTCTTTTAAATTTTTTTTATTTTCAATTATGTGTGGGGGGGAGATATGTGCACATGAGTACAGTTTGAAGTTCACAGAAGCCAGAGAGGCCCTGGAGTCAGAGTTACAGGCAATTGTGGGCCACCCAACATGGGTACTAAGAAGCAAACTCAGATCCTCTCCAAGGAAAACGCATACTACAGTATGCTCTTAACTATTGAGCCATACTACAGTATGTACTCTTTTACTGTGTTGCTAAGAGGTTGATGGTGTCCATCTCTAGATGGCCAATATCATATCATCAAAGAACAGTTTGTGGAAGTTGGTCTAAACCAATAAAAGTTCACCCTGATTTAGCTTTTCAATTAATCGATCAGTCTTTCTTCCTATTTTTTTTTCATGTGTATGAGTGTTTTATCTATATGTATGTAAGTGTACCATGTGCATTCAATATCTTTGGAGGCCAGAAGAGGGCCCTGGATCATCTGGAACTGGATTTGGGAAGGTATTAGCCACTATGTGGGTGTTGGGAACTGAACCTGGGTCTTCTGCAAGAGCAGTCAATGCTCTTAAGTGCTGAACCGTTTCTCCAGCCCCACTCTGATCTACCTTTAAAGGAATTTTCTGCTAAGTTCCAAGAGAACTTACTTACTAGTTGGTATAAATAAAATTTCTCAAGAGATACATTAGCACTATGGCACATGTTAACCTTTAATGAGACTTAAAAAAATTTAGGGCTGGGCCTACAAAGCAACATTTATGACAATCCCCCCTCCTCTGCACCCTACAGATAATTCTTCCATGGTGTAAATAAGTCATATGCCTGCTAACACAGTCATCCATCTTAGTGATAAAGTACAATTTCTTACCCAAGCAAGGAAAAAGGTCCTCTCCCCAAAATTAATTCATTTATCCTATTTGTTACCAAAATATTGATTAAATTTTGAAATGTCTATACCTAAAACTCTAACAAGAAAACAACTAAACACAAGACTTTAAAATTATATAGTACTAGCCGGGTGTGGTGGTGCACGCTTTTAATCCCAGCACTCAGGAGGCAGAGGCAGGTGGATCTTTACGAGTTCGAGGACAGCCTGGTCTACATAGCGAGTTCCAGGACAGCTGAGGCTGCAGGGAGCCCCTGTCTCAAAAATACCAAAAAAATAAATAAAATTATATAGTACTGTAAAGTGATTTAAAAACGTGTTTTTGTACAATAATATGAAGGAATTACAAACTAAACATATATACAAAATGCATACCCATATAAATGAATTAAATGTTAAAATTATTTTTCCTGAATGATGTTATAGCTAATTAAAAGATTTTATTGTTTAATTATGTGTATGCATGGGCGTCTGTGTGTGGGTTTGCAAACATGAGTGTAGGTGCCTATGGAGGCCAGAAGCATCAGATCCTCTGGAGCTGGAGTTACAGGTAGCTGTGAGGTGCCCAACGTGGGTGTTGGGAACTGAACTCAGGTTCTCTGCAAGAGCACTACATGTTCTTAATCACTGAGCCATCACTTCAGCCCAATTTTATCTATTTTTATTTTATGTGTATGAGTGTTTTGCCTGCAGGTATATAAATGCAGCATGTGCCTGCCTGGTGCCTGTGGAGGCCAGAAGATGGATTGAATCCCTGGAACTGGCATTAAGGGCAGGTGTTAGCTGTCATGTGGATGCTGAGAACCAAACCCAGGTCCTCTGGAAAAGCAGTAGGTGCTCTTAGCTGCTGAGCCATCTCTCTAGCCCCAGAGATTATAGATTTTTGTTCTTTTTAAAATATTATTTTTATGTGTATGAGTGTTATGCCTGCATGTATGTAAGTGCATATATGTTGTGCAATGCCTGTGGAGTTCAGAAGAGGGTGTTGGAACTCCTAGAACTGGAGTTATGGATGTTGTTAGCCGCCATGTGGGTGCTGGGAACCAAACCCAGGTCCTCTGTAAGAGCAGTAGATGGTCTTAACTGCTGAGTCATCCCTCCAGCCCAGATTTTCATTCTTCTAATATTTTCTAACCAAAAGAGAAAAGTAACCAAAGAATCTATATGTAATCTATTAATTAAAAATCAATGAATGAGTTAGGTGTGTTGTTGCCCATCTATAATCTCAGCATTTGAGAGGTTAAGACAGAAGATTGCTGTGTTATAAAGCAAGACCCTCTCTCAAAAGGAAAAAAGATGAATGATTAAATTTTACTACTGCATTCTGAACTTAGTAAATAGACAAGCATAAAAACTTTAAAGCCAACATCTTACACTCCCCTACCCCCCCATGTTAAGACAAGGTCTTACAATGTTCCATGCTGGCCAGAAACTCAATATGTAACATAGACTGGCCTTCAACTGGAGGCAGTCCTCCTGTCTCAGTCAAACATGTGCTGAGATTTACAGGTATCAGCCATCATGCCCTGCTAGAAAAATTTAATACTTTCTGAACGAGAGAATTGCTGAAAAAACATACACTCGCAAATGAGTTTACGTGGACTGAACTAGTATGACATTTAAAATAATCATAATGTAAACCTTTGGGCACAATTCAAGTGTGCACTCAACTATCATTCATGTAGAAGTATATTTAGAGAAAATGACATACTAATGACTTCTGTTAAAGAGCTAGAGAGCCAATTCTGTAACAAGGTAGCTGAGGGGTAGTGCACTGGTAAACAGCACAGACTAGTGTCAGAACACTTCAGACTGAACCTTCAGGTACATATCTGGAAACCTCTATGTACCTCAAATTTCTTCAACCCAATAATAAAAATACCTACTTCATTGTGTTGCTGGAAGGATTAACGACCATGCGTTTGTGTGGATATGATCCTTTCAACAGCATCAAACATATAGCAAATATTATGTAGCATTTAATAAGCAAATCAATCAACACACAACATTTGTTAGATTAGATTAATAGATATAAAGTATCTGACAGAGTAAGCAAAAGGAAAATGTTAGCTAGTGCTACAAGTAACATCTTTTTAATACAAAGAATGCTTAGAATTTATCTGCACACAATTATAAAATCTACTCACCTCATCTACAATAACATGAGACACATTACTCAGAAGACCATCTTCTTGAAGTTTCCTTAGCAAAACTCCTGTTGTACAATATAGCAGCCTGGTAGATTCGCTAGCTCGAGATTCCATCCGGATCTGATATCCACACAAAGAATTCTGAAGGGAGAACACAAAGCTGTCATTAGAGCTCACAAACAATCTGGAAAAGAAGCTGTAAAGAGTGAAGCCCAGGTATTGACCTTAGTACTGCAGGGTAGTTCTAAGTCCAGGTAGATCTATTTATGCAATTTATTACCAAAAGTCTATTTCTAGGGCTGGAGAGATGGCTCATTGGTTAAGAGCACTGGTTGCTCTTGTAGAGGACCTGAGTTTTGTTCCCAACACCCACATGGTGGCTGACAACTATCTGTAACTCTGGTTTCAGGGGATCTGACGCCCTCTTCTGGCCTCCAAGAGCCCTGCACTCACATGGCACATTTACATACATGCAGGCAAAACACAAATAAAATCACATTTTTTTTAAGTTACAAAAAAAGAATACGTTTCTAGTTGTACCTGGTAGACCAAAACTGTAGGAACAGCACTCAAGAGGCTGAGGCACTATTGCTCTGAGTTTCAGGCCAGCCTGGGTTACATAGAAAGCAGCTTGGGCCACAGCACAAAATCCTGTCTCAAAGCCAAAAAAGTACATTCCTATATTTTCAATTATATGAAACTATAAAATTTGGTTTGGTAATTTTAAACTTTTTCTTGTTTTATTTAGTGTATGCGTGTGAGTACTGATGCGCACTCATGCTACGGTATATATGCGGAGATCAGTTGGATGTGGTGTTGCCCATCTATAATCTCAGCACTTGAGGGGTTGAGACAGAAGATTGCTGGGTTTTAACTGTTGGTTCTCTCCTGCTATCATGTGTGATTCAGGGATTGAACTTGGGTTATCAGGCCTGGGTACAGCACAAGATGCTGAGCCATCTTGTCGGCCCCATTATTATTATTTTACATAGGATTTAAAAATAATCCAATATTTTCATCTACATTGCTTTCCTTTTCTGTTCACTGAAAAGCATGAAAATCAGTTAGGATTTACACGTATAAGATAGACTTACAAAAGCTTGAGCTATATGGTACAGGAAAGTCAAATTTCAATTTGTCCCTATTCTTTGAATGCTAAGTCCCTAGTCCTTGAATGCTAAGTACATATCTGAACATTCTAAATTATAAAGTCAGAATTTTTTATGAGAATTTAATGACAAATTTACTGAAGTTTTTTCATATGAAGAGCATAATATCTAGCAAGGACAACATGAAAAGTACCTGAAGGGGGTCACTGCCCAACCACTAACAGAACTCTACAGGTTCCCAAAGGGGAGTCACGTCATCACTCACTGAGGTGGAATCCAGAGAACAATGCCTTACCCGTCCTCCAGGTCCGTTTTCACAGCCCAATTCATCACACACCCTGGTGGCTAAACTCACTGCTGAGATTCTTCGAGGTTGTGTACAGACTATGTTACATTTGCTTGCTCCCCACTCATTTAGAAGTAAATCTTCCAATAGGAAATGTGGCACCTGAGTGCTTTTGCCACTTCCTGTTTCACCTGCCACAACCACAACCCGATGCCTTTTAAGAGTTTCCACAATTGAATCCCGGTGTTTGAACACAGGTAACTGTTGTCTTTCCTTCAGAAGTCTCTGATACTTAGGCGTACTTTGCAACTTTCTAAAGAGGTTCCTAACAGGCTGCAAATCTTCTGCATTTGTTGATTCCAAGGACAGTGCACCAAGATCCTCATCAGAAACTAAGTTTTCCCAGGATTCCTCGGGATCTTCAGAGTTCTCTTTTTTACCTTCAGAATGCTGCTGTTGTTGCTGCTGCTGTTGCTGTTTCAACTTATTCAAAAGTTTGGTAATAAAAAGATCACGTGGTTTATTGGTTTCCATTTTATTTAATTCTTCCCTTTTCTTTTCCTCATCACTCCACTCTAACCAAACATCTCGGTAAGTAGGAGGGAGTAACTGATGAATAGACTATAAAGAAAAAAAAGAACAATGTTTTACTGGATATCAAAATTCAATAGATTACAACTTAGTATATGGATTCACCTTAAAATGTAACTTTTAAACTTTAAGTCATTAATGTTAGATATACATATATCTAATATAGATTCATAAATGACACATATATTCAGATTTCTTAACTTAATAGCTATGTGACTTTGGGGAATAAGTTAACTTCTCTGGCTTGTTTGTGCATTTAAAAACAGCTAATAGAGTACATGCAAAGTGCTTATTTTTATTTTTACTTTTATGTGTATGAGTGTTTTGCCTGTACATATGTAAGTGTACCACATATATGCAGTTGTCTATGGAAGGCAGAAGAGGGTATCTGATATCCTGGAACTAGAGTATAGATCTGGCAGTTGTATGATGCTATAGGCAAAAGTATTTTAAAAGAACTACACCAAAGAGAACCTAAGTTATTCCAATTCTCTGCTGTGAAATAACCTACAATTGTCTGACACTGGCAGCAATTTTTATCAGATAAGAAGTTTATGAAATGTTACTTTGTAAAATGAGGGAAATAAAGACCTAACTTTAGCAGAAGTTGGAAAAGAACAACTTTTGAATTGTTTGAATTCCCACTTAACGTCTAAAGCTTTAAAAAAAATTTTAATTTTATGTGAATGAATACTTTGCCTGCATGTATGCAAGTGTTCCTTGTGCATACAGTGCCTGTGGAGGCCAGAAGAGACTGTAGGATCCCTTGGAACTGGTATCAGGGATGGATATTAGCTGCCATATGGGTGCTGGGAAATGAATCTGGGTCTTCTGAAGAAGAGCTAGTGCTCTTAACCTCTGAGCCATTTCTCCAGCCCAGCATCTAAAGAATTTTTGTTTGTTTTTTTTTAAAATTATATATGTCTGTGTATGGGTTTGTGCCTGTGATACAGGGCCAGAAGAGAACACTGGATCCCCTGGAGCTAGCGTTACAGGCAGTTGTGAGTCACCTGACATGGTTGCTGGAAACTAAACTCTGGTCCTCTGGAAAAGCAACAAGTGGTCTTAATTGCTGAGCCATCTCTCCAGGTCTACCCAGCAGCTAAAGTTTTTGATGGTTCTAACATCCCATGAAGAAAGATAAAAATTTATTATAAAAAGGAAATGCTGGCAAACCAAATTTTAAGACTATTGTGTTCTCCCAATGAACTTCCTTCAGCAGTACTGTGATCGTTCTCTAAAATGTAAGCACATAGCTAATATAACCTAAAACAAAAAATGGAACTACTTGTCTATATTTTTAAGTTGAGAGAATATAACATTAAAGGAAAATACACTTTAAAAAATTCCTTTCAGCTGTGTATTATGGTGCATGGCTTTAATCCCAGCACTCAGGAGGCAGGGGAAGACAGGTATGTGTGAGGTTAAGGGCAGCCTGATCTACATAGTTCCAGGCCAGTTGTACAGGGAGACCCTTTGTTAAAAAAAAAAAAAACCAAAAAAACCCCCCAAGATAAATTTAAAAATTCCTTTTAATTCAACAACCTTGTACAACTATTTTTAGTCTTTAAGTTAGTGTAGCCCAAATGTTCCATCAGATTGCCTCTTCCAGACCACTGGTCTAAGGAAAGACTAGGGATGAAAGGAAGCAAAATTATAATTAATCAGATATGAGGATTACTCAGAACTAGTCAGTAAAACTGGTACATGCCATAATTAAATACTGCCTTCCATGTACCCAGCCAATTTTAATTTTACTTATTATTAGTAGTAGTATGTATGTGTTATGTTTGTGTGGGCACAGGAGTGCTATGGTGTGTGTGGATGTCAGAGGACAACTTTGTGGATTCGGTTCTCTCCTATCTTTATGTGGGTTCCAGAGCTCAAACTCAGGTTATCAGGCTTATGTGGTAAGTGTTTTACCTGCTAAGCCATCTTACTGGACCAGTTTTATGGACAATTTTATCATAGAGTAGGCACCTCTTATCCAAAATACTCGATGCTCAAAGTTTTGGATCTTAGATTTAGGGATATTGGCATATACATAGTGAGGTATTTTAAGGATGGATCTTGTCTAAACACAAAATCCATTTATGTCATATATGCCTTATGTAGAAAGCCTGAAGATAATTTTAGAATGTTCCACTTGTGGCATTACATCAGTGCTCAGAAAGATTGGGATTTTAGAGCATCTCTGAAAAAGATGTTTTGAATCAGGGATGCTTCAATGTGCATACCCACTCTTCCACAAATGATTTTTGAAGCATCTGGGCCTAAAACATCTTACCTGCCCTTTTACCAAACGATACAGGGCTAAAGTAGCTCCCAGGTGCTGAGCCTGCATTCCGTCCTCTGTTAAGATTGTAGGACACACAACCAGAACATCATCTTCAGACTTGATTACCCTCACCCTAAAAAGCATAAAAACAAAATAACTTTTAAATTGATGAAGTCAGATTTTTTTAAAGTCAGAAATTCATTAATATTCAAGTTAAGCTTACAATAATTATTTAAATATTTCAATGGAAGGCACTGAATTAGATGATTCAGAAAACTTTACATTACAAACCTGAGATGAAAAATTAAAGACTTTCTTAAGAAGAGGAGGAGGAGGAAGAGGAGGAGAAGGAGGGGAAAAAAGGTGTCCTAAATGGTGGCCTACCTTTAATCCCAGTACTCAGAAGCCAGAGGCACACAGATCTGACTTTCAGGTCAGCCTATCTATTTAGTGAGTTCTTGGCCAGCCAGGACTATCAAACTGAATAAACAAAAACAACAACAGCAAGCATTTCCTATATGTCTACCTGTTTTTGTTTTATGGATTTATTTTTGACATAGGGTCTCACTCTAAGGCCCAGGGTAGGCTGGGCCTCAGCCTACCAATTACTGAGACTATAGACACGAACCATTACACCTGATGTTCCTAAACATCTTGTTTTTAAAATTTATTTTTATTTTATGTGTATGAGTGTTTTGCCCTCATGTGCATAGGTGCATATGTGTGCAATGCCCATGGAAGCCAGAGGAGGGCATTGGATACCCTGAAATTAGAGTTGAGGACAGTTGTTAGCAACCGTGTGGGTGCTCGGAACCAAACCTGGGACTCTGCAAGAACAGCCAGTGCTCTTACCACTGAGCCATCTCTCCAGCATTCCCCCCGCAACATCTTCTTAGTTCATAGGAAACAAAAAGATTTTCATTCCTCAATTTTAAAAAGTTCATTCAATTAACCAGATAAACATACCTACATTTCCAGTATCTACCTACTGGAACTTTTTCAAAAGAAGGATTTGGGCTCTTGGGAAGATTCTTCCTCACCCAATCGATTAGAAATTGTTTGGGAGATTTTCCAGTCCAGCTTCGTGCAGTGTAGTCAAAATTTCTTATGTCATGAGGTTCTTTCTTTTTACCTGAAATGGAGACAAAAGGTATTCTTTACAAATAATAACAATATAAATTCTCTTGTGTGATCATAGCTCTCTCACTTTTGGGAACAGCATTTTTTAAGAGAATAGGTGAAGAACAGACAGAGAGGCCCGCTTTTCTCCAACTGATGTCATTTTCTTAAGTGACAGAACCATAGAACATTCTGAATCTTTGTTGTTGCTGTTCTATAGTTTTGAGACAGGGTCTCATATGGCCCAGGTAGACCGGAAAGGAGTGATGCTAGATAGGCTGACACAAACTTGACTTGATAGGCCTTAATATGTATGACAGAATGCATGAAATTCTATGGGGGGAATGTAGATAGGGGAGGGAGTCTAAATATGATCAAGATGTATTGTATGAAAAATGCACAAAAATTTAAAAAATATACATATATTAAAAAAAAGAATGAACTCCTACTGATCGTTGGAATTATAAGTATGTGTCATCACAAGGTGGCTGATCTTGAGACCTTATGTCTTTATATTTACTGAAGGGCACCATTTGGTAGGATATCCAACAAGTAGTCACCAGAAGTCAGAAGTTAGAATTTCTCTACTTACCGTGGCTATTGCCATCAACACCATCACCTTCAGTGGCTTCCTGCTACAGACTTAAAAACAAGAGGCTGGAGAGATGGCTCAGCAGTTAAGAGCACTGACTGCTCTTGCAGAGGACCTGGGTTCGATTCCCAGCACCCACATGGTGGCTACAAACCCTCCTTAACTCCAGTTCCAGGGGAATCTGATGCCCTCTTCTGACCTCTGTGGCATTGCATGTACTCACATACATACACGCAATACACTCATATACATAAAATAAAAATAAATAAAATATTAAAAAAAATAAAAAGAACAAAAAAGAAAGGACTCTCTTTTCAGTAGTTAAGAACATGTACTGCTTTTGCAGAGGGCTACAGTTAGGTTCCCAGTACCCTCACTAGGTGGTTCACAACCACCAGTAACTCCAAGCTCCAGGGGGATCCAACACCCTCTTCTGGTTTCCTCTGTACTTATGTGCACAAACCCACACCTATGATTCTAGGCTGTGCCTAACTGACAGTTAAAAGCTAAGACAGACAGCTGGAACAAGTTTGGAGACTGACCTCGAGAAAGGGAAGACTTAGGCAAGGTCTTTGCAATTGCAAAACACAAGTGAGTTTTCACAATTGTTATTACTTTAAAAAAAAAATCTGTGAAAGTACAACTTCACTACCACCTTAAGTACTTTGCCAAAATGCAAAGTACCCAATTTTACAATTACATCTTCCTTGATATACAGTACTCATAAATTGCACAGCAATTGTGCTCCTTCACTTCACCTTTCTCTTCTTCAATAGCAGCAGCACATTTTTCAAATAAATTAAAGTCCAAAGCACTTTCCTTTTCTGTGGCTAGAGGAGGCTTTATCCTTTCATTTTGTTGATGTGAAATCTTTATGGCTGGGTTGAATACTGGATGGTCTTCTAAAGTTTCCATCTCTACCAAGAAAAAAGACATTTGCTTTTATGCTTTGCATTTTGCAAATATAGTTTAAAAAACAGCATTTTTTCTTTTTCCTTGTAGCCAGTTAATTCATACTTGGAATCCGATAGAAGCCAGATGCAGTTTATTAACTTTCATGAAGTACACTAAAAAAAATAATTTAGGGGGCTGGAGAGATGGCTCAGCAGTTAAGAACACTGGTTGTTCTTGCAGAAGATCCGGGTTTGAATCCCAGCACCCACATGGCAACTAACAACTGTCCGTAACTCCAGTCCCAGGGGATCCAACAGCCTCTTCTGACCTCCACAGGCATTGCATGGCATGGGTGCACTTACCTACATGCAGGCAATACACGCATGCACATAAAATTTAAAAAGATAATAATAAAAAATTCAATAAATGTCATAAATAAAAAACCCAAACACCTTCACTAGAAATAAGTGCACATTCTGTTACTGACAGACCTAGGTATTACATGGTGTGTTTGCCAGTACAAAAGGGACGAATTGGCTTACGTGTGTGCTGTCATAACATCTAGATGCAGTTTTGATTGTAACAGGAAAAACATGTTATTGACACCTAAATAAAGAGGTCTGAGGGGGAAAAAAAAGAGAAATATGTGCACATAAGATTGCATTCACATTTCTTTCTTGGAAGATGGCATTTTATAGTAAATCTAGGATCTGCAAACTATGTCCTGCAGCCAAATCTAGCCTGCTACCTTTTTCTGTATGCCTGCTAAAAGGGTTTTCATATTTTACAGTGGTTAAAAATATAACAAAGGGGTTGGGGAGATAGCTTTGTGGGTAAAGTACTGAATTTGGATCTCTAGCACCCATACAAAAGTTGGACATGGTAGTTTTCATCTGTAACCCCAGAGCTGGGGATGGGGGACAGGTATACAGAGATAGGTGGGTCCCAAGGGCTTGCAGGCCAGCCAGTCTAGCTGAAACAGCAAGCCTCAGATTTAGAGAGAAACCCTGTCTCAAAAAATATGGTAGAAGAAGTAGAAGACAACAGCTGACATTGATACCTGGCTTCCACATGTGCACACATGGGCAAGCACAGCACACACATGCACACATATGCATTTACCACACACACACACACACACACACACACACACAAATAAAATATTTGGTGACCTGTGAAAATTACACGAAATATATAACTTAGTATCAATGAAACAGTTTGATTACAACAATCGTTCGTTTTTTTAAATTGCTATGGCTCCTTTTATGCTGTAACAGCTGAGCCGAGAGGCTGTGACAGAGACACTATGATCCACAAAGTCAATAGCATTTACCATTTGGCTTGTTAAAAAAGTTTCCATTCTTAGGTAGAAACTGTTTGGAAAATACAGACATATTTTTAAAAGACAATTAGGGGCTAGAGAGATGGCCGAGCAATTAATAACACTGTCTGCTCTTGCAGAAAACCTGGGTTCAGTTCCCAGAATCCACATGGCAGCTTACAACATCTGTAGCTCAGTTCCAGGGAATGTGACACCCTATTCTGGCCTCCAAGAGCACCAGGCACATACATGGTGGGTGCACTTACATGCAGACACAACATTCATTCACAAATAAAAAATTTTTAAATGAAATAAAAGACAGTTCTACATGAATAGTTTAAAGTGCTTACCTCTTTGAAATTTTCTTATTTTTTCTTGAGCCTCTTTTTGGCCTTGCTTGTTTTTTTCTAGTTTAAAGGTAGCTGCTTGCTCCTTTGCATCCAGAAGTCTAGCTGTGAGATGCAAGTACCTTTGATTCTTTTCCAAGTAAAATGATGAGGAGGACATTAAAAAAAAAAAAAAAGGTGAGGTTAGTTTATCAGTGACCAGTATAAAACCTATGATTCCTTGACCTAGCAAACCTACTTTTAAGAGTTTTTCAGAGAGAAGAAACAAACGGAAGGCGCATATTAAAAGGTATGGAGGAAAACTAAGAAAACACAAAGAACATGACTCAACCGAGCAATAGCTACTGAGTCGAATGCTACAGAGATGATTGCTTTCCCTAGATTAATAAATGATGTAGATTATAAGCAGAACGACTTGGGTGGCGAAGATGAGTCCCAGTGGGTGCTGCTGTGAAATGCAATTGTTGTTGAGGGGAAAACACAGCTAAGTAAGCACAACTGGAACCCCTTTGTGTGCAAGCACACACCAAAGTGGAGTAACAAACAGGAGGCCTCGCTCCCACATCAGATCCACTCAATGCATCCTTGCCCCTTCCACTGTACTCTGTGAGCACTGACACTGCCACTCTTTGCCTAGGCATCTTGACATCTTTGGTTTCTTAACAGTCTTTTCTCATAAAATCTACCATCATGGGGCTAGAGCAATGGCACAGCAGTTAAGAGCACTGGATGCTTTTGCAGAGGACCCAGGTTGGATTCCTAGCACCCACATGGCAGCTAACAACCATCCCTCCAGTTCCAGGGGATTTGATGCCCTCTTCTGACCTCTGTGGGCATTGCACAAAAGGGGTATACATGCAGATACTACACTCATACACATAAAATCAAAATTGTAAACAAAATATTAAAAAATTTATCATAACTATCTTGAAATGTAAACTTCAGTGCTATAAAATGAATTTATATTATTGTGTAGTCATCATGGTCACAACCCAGACTGCACATCTGACAAAAGTGGAATACTAGCCTCATTAGAAAAGATCCCCACCCCACCCCTTCCTCTATCCCTGAAAAACAGTATTCTACACTATGTCCCTATGAATTTATTTAATGTACTTCAGGAATGAGTGGAATCATACAGCATGAGTTTTATAACTGGCTTAGCTTACTCAGCATGAAGTCTTCAAGATCCATCTATGTTGCCCCATGTATCAGAAATTTTCTTCCATCACATACACAATATACTTACAGATTTATCCCATGGTTGACATTAGATTGCTTCCACATTTTTGCTATTGCTACAAACATGGTGTACAAATATATCTTCCCAGACCCTGACTTCAAATCTTAGAAGTATATACCCAGAAGTGGAATTGTTGAGTCATATGGTCATTCTATTTAGAAATTTTTAAGGAAATGCCACACTGCTTTCCACAATGGCTGTACCATATTACTTTCCCATCACCAGTACATGTACTCCACATTTCTCCACATTTTCTTCCTGTTTTTTTCAATGTACCTATCCCAACTGATGAGAAGGCATCTTGCTGTTGTTTTGATTTGTATTTCCCTAAGAGTTAATAACGTGGAACATGTGCTTACTGGTCATTTGTAAATCTTCTTTGAAGAATGTTCCTTAGCCTTTATACTCAGGAAACCACTAATTTTTGTTGATTCTTGCTTTAAAATATGTCTTCCTTTCCAACTTCAGGCATAATTTCACACCTGAGCAAGTAGGGATAGCTAACAAAATGAATAGGGGAGGTTTCTAAGTCATTGTTGAGTACCATTCAATATTTCAAACCACCCTGAACACTACTAAATGTGACCCAAAATGCCAGTCTTCTTGTTGGTCATCTGCCCCCAAACCCTATGTACTAGCTATTTAATATTCAGTTATCAAATGAATTTTCTGGGAATCATAATCTTCTGGTCAAGTAAACTCAGCTGTTTACACCTACCTGCCAGGACTCTCCTAAGTCTTTTAGTTCTACATGTGCATATCTATTTTTTTCAATGGCCAAGGGGGCCTTATACAATTATACTGCTGTAACCTTGTTCACATTATTTTATCCACTGGGACTATATTCCTATCATTCTTTGCCTGTCCGAACTCTACGTGCCTCAGATTTCACCTCTTAAGTTCTGACCTAATGTTCCAATTTGAAGAGTCCTTTCCCTAAATCCCAAAGTAGATTTATACTGCTCTAAAGACATTTATATAATTCTAATACAGGCACAGAATTGAAAACTTACATTTACAAAAGAACACACAAGTTTCTATCCCACCCTACCACTCCTTCTAATCAGCAGCAAAAGTTGTATATCTTTCCAAATACAGTACAAATGTGTCAATATTTTCTTCTTTTACACAAATGGATTTCTCACATTACACATGCTGTTTTGTAACTTCTATCACAATTTGCTTAGCCATTTGCCTACTGACTGACAAGGGTTGCTTGCAGTATTTGGCTACTATGAATAAAGCAGCTGTTAACATTTATGTACAATGTTTTCATCTTTCTTAAGTAAATATCTATAAATTAAACTGTTGGGTCAAGGGACCCTTATTGGGTATTCCAGCCATTCCTCCCAGCCATTTGAATGCAATTTCACCCTAACTGCACATGGCCTTCGGGTCTAGGGGAGGTGCTAGAGTACGTAGGCTGGGGAAGAGTAAGGGAAGGGGGTCCATCTACACAGACATGGGAAGCCATCATCCCCGATGAATACAGACCTTCTAGCCCAGCTGCTTTAGGGTCACTCACGCTTCTGTCTACAGCCCCTCACCCATGCTCTAATACACTCACTAGTTCCCCAGGGTGAACTTTGGTGGAACTCAACTTTGGTTTGTTGTTGAGACCTTAGAAGGCGGGAGTAGATGTTGTTCACATCTCCCCCAGGGAAAGAATTTTAGCAACAACAAGTGTGTGTTTAACTTTATGACAAAGTGCCAACAGTTATCCAAAGTGACTGCATCACATTCCACTCTACAGCCTCCCTAACACTTCATATTACTGGTCTTTAAGGTGGATATATAGTGATGTCTCATTATAGTTTTCATTCTTACCTCTTTAATAATTAGTGATACTAAATATATTTTTTCATGTTTATTGGCTATCTGCATGACTATTTTTGTTAGGTACCTACTTTTAAAAAATTCTTTACATGAGGCTGAAGAGATGGTTCAGCAGTTAAGAGTACTTACTGCTCTTGCAGAGGACCCAGGTTAAGTTCCCAGTACCCACATGGTGTCTGACAGTTACCTACAACTCTAGTTCCAGGGGATCTGATGCCCCCTTCTGGCCCATGTGGGCACTGCAAACATGTGGTACACTTTCATATAGGCAGGCAAAACACTCATACACATAAAATAAAAATAAATAAATCTGGGGCTAGAGAGATGGCTCAGTGGTTAAGAGTACTGACTGCTCTTGCAGAGGACCTGGGTTCAATTCCCATCACCCATATGGTGGCTAACAACCATCTGTAACTCCAGTTCCTGGGGAATCCGACACCTTCTTCTGACCTCCACGGGCATTGCATGACACAGGTGCACTTACACACATGCAGGCAATACACCCATACACATAAAATAAAAACAATAAAAATAAATATTTAAATAGGGTTAAAAAAAGTTCTACTTATAGAGAGACGTGCTTTGTCAGATACGTGTATTTTCTACAGATTGTAATCTACAGATTGTAGTATTTTCTTTCCACAACTAGTCTTTTTCACTGTTAATGTTTTGGATCTTAAATGTGTCCCAAAGACCCATATGCTAAAGGCTTAGTCCTAAAGGCTTAGTCACTAACCTCTGGTGGTGGAGCTTTAGAAGATGAGGCCTACTGAAGTTATATTAGTGGGGGCCTACCCTTAATGGAGCGCTTGGGGACTCCAGTCTCATCCTCTCTCTTTTGTTTTCTATCTACCATATGAGTAGCTCCTCCACCAGACACTCCCAATCATGACATCCTTCCTCACCACAGGTCCAAAACAATGAAGTCAAATGACCACAGACGTGAAGCCTAAATAAACATTCTTGACTTCTTTTTTGGGTGGGGGACAGGTCTGTAGCCCTAGCTGGCCTGGGATGCACTTTGTAGACCAGGCTGGCCTGGAACTCACACAGTCACTTGTCCCTGTCTCCAGATTAAGGGCATGTGTCACCATGCCTGGATATTTTTGACATTCTTAAGTTGACTCTCTAGTTTTGTCAGTGATGCAAAGTTGATTAACACATTCATGAAACAACACTCAGTTGCAGTTTCTACTTTATCTTACATCTATTTATCTTTCCAGAGTACCAGCTTCCTCTATAAGGGAAAATGCCTAACCTTTTTTTATTACTCAAAGAATTTAGTATATGATTTACACATAATCACTTTAAAATATTTGATGTTTAGCTCCTTTTTTTTTTTTGGTCTTTTTGAGACAGGGTGTCCCTATAGCCCTCCCTAGCCCCAGCTGGCCTGGAACTCGCTATGTAGACCAGGCTGGCCTTGAACTCACAGAAATCCACCGGAGTGCTAGGATTAAAAGCAAGCGCCACCACACCCAGCTTGTTTATCTCTTTTTGAAAAATATTGTTTTTATTTTATGTGTATGAGTATATTGCATGTATATATGTAGGGGCACCCTGTTGTGAAATGCCCATGGAGGTCAGAAGAGGGTGTCAGATCCCCTCGAAATGGAGTTACAGATGGTTGTTAGCCACCATGTGGGTGCTGGGAATCAAACCTGGGTCCTCTGCAAGAATAGCCAATGCCCTTAAGCACTGAGCTATCTCTCCAGCCCTCTGTTTATCTCTTTAAATATGGGAAAATGTAATTAACATCTACTGACTACTGTGCACCAAGTTCTTACTTTCATGTTACTATGTTTAGTCTTTGTATTACTTCCTAGAGGTATTTCTCCAATTTACAAGTGAGAAAAACAGTAAGGAAAGTTAGACATCTTGTCTACTTACATCCAGGATGCTAGGAGCTTAATACAAAGTTCTACTCACAGGGTCAAACTGTTCTTCTTCTTCTTCTTCTTCTTCTTCTTCTTCTTCTTCTTCTTCTAAACTTTTAGAACTCTTTTCCTCTTCATTTTGTTGTTCAGCATACCTCAAAATCCACTCCTTCATATTTACCTCCATATTTTTTTCTTCCTTTTTTGGCTAAAAAGAGAAAACAAATATCTGAAAAATTGAAGCTAGAAGATACAAAAGGGTTTGCTTTTATAATTTCTTCACACTAAAAAAAATAGCACACATATAAAAGCCTCAAAAATTATTATGTAGCAAAAGACAAATGAACTGAACATTTTTAAAGAAGTCTAAACTTGCAAAGCCAAAGAATATGATTCCTTATTTGCTCATAATCCCAGTACCTGGGTAGCAGAGGCAGGAGGATTATGTATTTGAGGCTCCTCTGGGATATACAGCAAGACCCACTCCCTCAAAAATAATAAAAGTAGTCATCTTAAAAATTAGTATTATTCCTTGGCAAGGCTACTGTCACCCCAGATGTCTGATATCTATAGAGGACTTAAGTGTAATGCCCTAATGAATGATACCACCCAGTATCCCCAAATTCATGTCCTGTAATTCTCTTCCACAGATACTTTGGCCATGTGACTTGCATCAACCAATGTTACATTATCAAGTATGATTAAAGTCGGGACTTAATAAATACAGTTGACCTTCCACATATGTGAGACCCACATCTGTAGACTCAACCAACATCATGACTCTGAATATTAAGAAAAAAATTGCATCTTGGGGCTGAAGAGATGGTTTAGTGGTTAAGAGACTGGCTGCTCTTTCAGAGGACCTGGGTTTGAATCCCAAAACCCAGATGGCAGCTGACAACTGCTTGTAACTCCAGATCCAGGGGATCTGACACCCTCTTCTGATCTCAACAGGCATTACATGACATGGATGCACTTATATACATGCAAGGAATACATTCATACACATAAAAATAATAAAGTATTTTAAAAAAAGAAAAAGTTGCATTTGTACTAAATATAGAAGCTTTTTTCTTGCCATTTCCCAAACAATATAGTATCACAACTACTTATTACAGCATCCACATTATGCCAGAGATTATCAATGATCTAGAGATAATCTAAAGAGAAGAACGCATAGGTGATATAAGGGACTTGAGCACCTGCAGATTTTGGTATTCCTGAGGATCCCGGAGTCAACCTCTTACAATTATTAAGGGCAATTAAATTTGCTCTTGGGAGCCAGATACCATGTAAGAAGTCTGACCCCTGTGGGACCAGCAATGTGAAGAAACCCAAGAAAATCATGTGTGGAGAGCATGTGGAGAATGGGATGACTGGCTGGTATCCAGCAGAAGCAGTCCCATGAGTAAGGAGCCATTCTGGATGTTACATTCCAGCAGTCATCTTCTAGAACAGAAGAACTTTCAGCTGACCCTGGCTCAGAATACAGAAGCATGAAAAATAAGAAACTTGATTTAAAACACTAACTTTTGAGGTGGTTTGTTCTGCAACAATAGATAAGTGAGACCAACAGTAATAGAACAGCCTGGCCAACTTTAGTTCTAAGAAGTAAAAATGCTATAGACAACCTAGTATTTATATGCTTATGAACTTCATATGAACATCAGTTTCATACTAATTTTATGAAATTTTAAATGTTTAGCTCTTTTTAAAGATTAAAATTTTCTTTTGTGCATGGGTGTTTTGCCTGCATATATAAATATATACATATACATACACATATACATATACATACATAAATATATGTTGTGCAATGCCCTTGGAGACCAGAAGAGGGCATTGGATCCCCTGGAATTATGGAGTTATGGAAAGTTGTTAGCCACCATGTGGGTGTTGGGACCCAAACCCAGGTCCTCTGGAAGAGCACTCAGTGCTCTTAACCCCTGAGGTATCTCTCTAGCCCCAGAATAGTGTTTTATCTTGTTTTCTTTAAAACAGTATCTCACTATGCAGTTCTGGCTGGTCTGGAACTCCCTATGTAGACCATGTTGGCCTTGATCTTGCAAAGAACCACCTGCCTCTGCTGGGACTAAAGGTGTGTACTATCATACCTGCCCCCCTCCCCCCGCCACCCACCTTTCTTTTATTTGTTGTTGAGATAGGATCTCACTATTTGCACAAGCTAGCCTTCCCCTTGTGATCCTCCTGCCTCGGCCTTATGAATGATGGTATTAGAGGTTCTATTCCATCAACCCCAGCCTAGATTTTAATTCTTTTGTTGTTGTTGTTGAGACAGGGTCTCACTGTGTAGCCCTGCCTGGACTGGAACTCACTATGTAGACCAGACCAGGCTGGCCTCCCACTCACAGAGATCCACCTGCCTGACTCCTGAATGCTGGGATTAAAGGTGTTTGCCACCACATTAGGCCCTAAATTTTAATTCTTAAATTACCTTAATCTGAGGTTCTTCTTGTTTTTTGGTTTTAGTTTGCAATGGAAGTGAAATAGTGGCTTGTATTTGAGGAGACTGGAATTTTGGCCTACTTTTAGGTTGTTGCTCTTCAAATTCCTGACTGAATCCTTCAGGAAGTGCATCTTAAGATAAAACAAAATGTGCATATGATATACTGAATTCACAAATACTGTTACCATACATGTAAATCCTGTCAACACTCAGATCATCTAATTTTCTTCTACCCTCATTTCCTAAGAATAGAAACCCTGTGATTAATCTGATTTTATGTATCAAGCAAAGTCGGGTACACTCAGATGACAGCTAACCCACTTCTGCCTGGCTGTTTATTTCACCTTTACTATGCTAGGCTCCTAAATTTTCTTCACAAAGATCAACCTACCCTACTCTTTGGCTTTGTTACAGGATTAATTCACAAAAGCCCTCTGTACTTCAGGTTCTTGTCAAAGATTACAGCCACATCCCTGTACTTAATTAAAATACTATTTATGCAAGGTCAGCCCTATTTTTAAGCCAAAATCCAAGAGGCAGGCAAATTAGGCAAAACTTGAGAACCTGTTTTAAGTACATTATAAAATGACTATAAACGACCGAAAGCAACACAAAAAATTATTTATTCTTGCATTAATCAGAACCTCTAAGGAGAATATTCTGAAAACAACAGGTAGAGCTAAGAATATTTTTAAAATAAACAACTACAACTGAAAACTTTTAAGTGCAATTCAAAGGTCAATGCAAATTCCAAAAGCTGTTTAGCATACAAAATACTGACTATAAATACAAAATACTGAAATGTTTTAGAAACTGAAAGAATTTAATGACAATAGTGTTTACCATCTGAAAGGTTTAAACAGAGCCAATCCAAGGCAGAATGAAGGTCACCTCCATGTAAGAGTGTATTGGTCATGGCATCTTCAATGTCCTTAGTCTTAAAGGAAAATGCTTGTAAAGCCATGTATAAATCCTATGAAAGAGAAATATAAGTCACATTTGTTAATTTGCTTTTTTATTTCTAATTTCATTTTCTCTTTAAATAAAAAACTATGACACAAATTATAATTCCAAAAATATTTTTGGGGGGTTGCTGGTGAAGTAACCCAGTGGTAGAGTATTTTCTTAGCATGTTCAAAGCCCTGGGCTCAATCCCTAGCACCACCAAGAGAGAGAAAGAGAAGAAAGGAAGGTGGAGAGATCCCCACTTCCAAGCTAAAAGTTAAATATGCTCATTGTACTATAGGTGTGTGCGTGTGTGCACGTGTGTTTAAAGGATTAGGTTTTCTCAATATCCAAAGATAATGTTTACAGTGTAATGTTTCCGCTCCTAATTTTGTAAAACGAATTTCACATTTTAGCATATTTATCTTCCAAAATATTAGAAACTCTTCCTTAGCACACGTAATAGTTATATAATACACTTTTGGGTAGATATATCATAATTTAAATACACATTTTCCTATGGGTGAAAATTTTTTTCCTTTTCTTATGAGTAGTGTTTCAACAAACATCTTTATATATAAAGCACTGAAATGTACCTTCTACAGCATGATACTTAAAATTGGACAGAACTGGTTTAAAACCTAGATTCTGCTTATTCTGCTACTCACTAATCAATAACTTTATGCTATAACCTGTCATCTTCCCAAATCTCAATTCTTCTTTTTTTGTGTGTGTGTGTGTTTTTTTTGTGACAGGGTCTCCCTGTAGCCCCAGCTGTCCTGGAACTCACTATGAACTATGGAAATTAGTCTAGCCCTGAACTTACAGAGATCTGCCTGCCTGCCTACTTCTGCCTCCCAAGAGCTGGGACTAAAGGTGTGTGCCACTATGCCCAGCTCTAAATCTCAATTCTTACATTTGGAAAAATGGGCCAGATACATCTACCTGTGGGCTGCCATGTCAGAGCATGTAAGCAAAATGCAGGGCACAGAGTAAAACATACAGGTACCCAATAACATAATTTGGGAATGTATCTTACTTTTCACACCACCATTTCATGTGTGCACTTGTATGGAGACCATTCCTCCCCTATTCTTGCAGACATGAAACCTACATGTGATTCCGATGGAAACTTTTTAAAAATCATTTTTATCCCACACTTAGAGCTGTCCTTATATTGTCTCTCCAAAATGTACAGGCCCTAGGTTCAATCCCCGGCTCCGAAAGAAAAAGGGGAAAAAACTCTCCACTATGTCAAGTATTGGCACGCTGAGCTACAAAGTGAGATCTTGCCTCAAAAGAGAAATAAAGGGGGTTAGGGGAAGAGTTGTAAATACCTGTAATTTTTTGGCAGTAAGTCTTCCAGAAATCATTCCTTTGTCATTATTTTGCTTTTTATGCTCATTGATAACTCCAATAATTCTTTGTTCTAGTTTATTATTAATTACCACCTGTTGAGGTCAAGAAAGGTTATATAAATTAGAAACTAAATTATCAAAACACTAAACGCAAATCATAGTTTTTTTTTTATATTACTCTCAAACAGGCCCAAAATTTTAGTTAAAAGCAGGTGTAGTAATTAGCATTTTCTTCGACTACCATTCATTAGACCACATTCCTGTAACATATGTAAGAAAAAAATGAGACATGGAAAAAGCAACAGATCACATATTGCAAGAAAAAAAAATCCTCTTAAAAGACACTGTTCTTAGATTACCCTTGGGTTGCTATGACAGAAATTGCTAAGCCCTACCCTATTGAATCAGAATCCCTAGGGTAATATCTAGAAATAGGCCTTAACGTAAAGCAGCCCCCCCCCCAAAGAGCTTCACAGACTGAATGCTACATTAGAAAAAGGCATGACAAATAAAAGTAAAAACTATGTATCTAGTAGTAATGGGTTACAAATTCTTTTGGCTCCCAGTTTGTTCCCTACTTTTTCCTACTAGTCATTTATCTCCTGTGGTTTTGATATTTTTAACTGAAGAATATACAGGCATCTACCCATAAAAATATGTTTCCTTTATCACTTAACTGCATGCTATTAAGCACAGAAGCATATTTCAGGAATTCAGTCTAGTCAAGAATATATAAACAGACAAGTTATAACCCAGCATGGCAATGCTTTAAAAAGATATATTAAATACTAACATCACCACCATAACATTGGCTTGCAAAGGTATGTAGGCTCACCAGGGAGGTGGGGGGGGGGCACAGACACTCTTAGGGTATTATTTATTAAAAAATCAAATGATCCATCATTTTCTTATTCCTGGAGGATACTTCTTTTAAATTTTATTTATTTTTATTTATGTATGTATGTGTGTGTTACTGTGCATGCTACTTATGTGTGGTACCAGTAGAGGCCAGAAGTGATACCCTGAAACTGGAGTTAGAGATTGCTGTGAGTTGCCCAATGTGGGTGCTAGAAACCAAACTCAGGTCCTCTGAAAAGAGCAGTAAACACTCCTAACCATTGAGCTATCTCCCTATCCCACAAGTTTTTTAATTAAAAAAAAATTTTATCTTATGTGTATGAGTGTTATGTTTACATGTATGTAAGTACACCCACATTGTACAGTGCCTGAGGAGGAAAGAAGAGGGCATCAGAGCCCCTGGAACTAAAGTAGTTAAGGATGGATGTTAGCTACCATGTGGGTGCTGGGATACAAACCTGAGTCCTCTGTAAGAACAGCTAGTGCTCTTAACCTGAGCCAGCTCTCCAACCCAACTTTTTATTTATTTTTTTAAAGGAGCATTTCCCAAAATGACTCAAAACCTTGATTACTCACTTTCAAAATAGATTTATCCAGATTTGCAGAACCTCCAGAGTCATTTGCAGAATTGAAACTATAAATTTTGGGACCTGTATATAATGGACAACAAATAGTCAAGGTGATTTAATGATTAATATTCATTATACTGTTTTAATTTTCCTGTAAAGATTGCTAAATATTAAAATTTGATTTTAGCTCTTTCCTCAGTTTAGCAAAAAACAAAAATCTTTATATCTTTTAGGTCACATTTATTTTCTTTTTTCTTTTTTTTTTTGGACTTTTTCAGACAGGGTCTTCCTGTAGCCCCAGCTGGCCTGGAACTTGCTTTGTAGACCAGGCTAGCCTTGAACTCACAGAGATTCACTTGCCTCAGCCTCCCAAGTGCTGGGATTAAAGGCATGCACCACCATGCCTGGTTTATTCACCTTCACATTTTTTTTTTTGTTTTTTTTTTTTTGGTATTTTTGAGACAGGGTCTCCCTGTAGCCCCAGCTGGCCTGGAACTATGCAGACCAGTCTGGCCTCAAACTCACAGAGATCCACCTGCCTCTGCCTCCCAAGTGCTAGGATTAAAGGCATGCACCACCACACCCAGTTCCACCTTCACATTTCTTATCAGATGCTTTTATTCTTGACACTTAGATAAGATTTCTTGGGGGATTTCAGATTGCTGCAATTCTGATGAGAAAACAGTCCTCCATGAAAACAGGATGCTAAGGGAAAAGGTGGAAGTTCCTGTCATCTTTCTCCTTGGCCTCAAGTCCAGGGTTACCATATTCATTTCTGAGGAATAGCAAATCACCACACCTGATGACTAAATATAATTGAAATTTGTTCTTTCACAATTCCAAAATCAAGGTATGAGCTCCCTCTGATGGCTGTAAGCCACAATCTTTTCTCTTTTTTAATTGAAAATTTCATACATGTATACAATGAAATATGGTCATATACAGCTCCCCAGTTCCATCTTCCAGCTCTCCCAACATGTCTCCCTTCTAACTTTGTCTCCCCCCCACCCTTTTTTTCTTGATAAACCATTCTGGTAGCCTGAATGAGAAATGTCCCTCATGGGCTTATGTATTTGAACAACTGGTCCTCAGGTAGTGACACTGTTTGGGGGAGGTTATGGAACCTTTAGGAGGTGGAGTCTTATTGGAGGAAGTTCTTCCTGGTGACAGACTTGGAGGGTTTACAACCTTGCCCTACTTCCGCTCTCTCTACTTCTTATGTGATTAGCCAGCTTCCTGCTCCTGGCACCATGTCTTCCCCACCATGACAGACTCTATCTCTCCAAAACGATAAGCCAAAATGAAATGCTTTCTTCCCCTAAGTTGTTTTTGGTCATATTATTTTCTCACAGCAACAGAAAAGTAATTAATACACCCACTAAGTCCAATTAATGCTGCCCACTTGCACATGGATGTGGGGCCATCCACTGAAGCATGAGAAACCTACCAGTGGCCACACTCCCAAAGAATGATTCTCCCTCCCCCCAGCTACTATCAATTGCCAATACCTCCTGCAGTAAGGGTAGGGGGCTGGAGATTCTCACCATCTCTGTAGGAATTTTGGCTTGCTTGATCTTGTCCAGGTAACCTCAGCTGTTCTGAATATGAGCACAATAGCCATGTCATGTCCAAAAGACAGCATTTCACAGCACTTCCTCCTCATCCTCCAATTCTTTCTACCTCCTCTTCCCTAGTATTCCCTGAACCTAGGCAGGGACTGGAGGGGTTGACAAAGATGTCCCATTTAGGGCTGAACATTCAGTCTCCTCAACACACCCTTTCTTGACTCTTCCAGTGGCCACAAGTACCCCTTGGCTTATGGTAGAATAGCTCCAGTCTCTGCCTCCTTTGGATGGCCTCCTTCCCTGTTTCTCAGTTTCCAAATCTTCTCTTTTAACACTAGTCGTTGGATTAGCACTCATTCTAAATTTAGGATAATTTAATCTCCATATCCTTAACTAATGGGATCTGCAAAGATGCTATTTCCAAATGAAGTCAAATTCTGAGGTTCCAGGTGGACATGAATATTTGGGGAGGGACACTATTTAATTCACTGTAGTGGCTGTCTGTTTCAGTCAACAGAAAGAGTATATATTCTCAGTTTTCCAGCAATAACTACCTAGGAAGGAATAAATAATACTTTCAAACTTTTGGTCTCTCTCTCTCTCTCTCTCTCTCTCTCTCTCTCTCTCTCCCTCTCCCCCTCCCTCCCTCCCTCCCTCGCTCTCCCTCTCTTTTTTTCCCCAGGTTTGGGGTTTGAACCTAGGGTCTTGCCCATGGCAGGCAATCTTTCTATCACTGACCTATATCCCTCCAACCCATATTTTTTAAACTTAAAAACAAACAAGGAATAATTAATTTTTCATGCCTGTGTGCCTGGGCACAAATACATAGTTTTTGTGTGGAAATCAGATGATGACTTACAGTTGGTTCTCTTCTTCCACCATTTGGATCCTGGGGATTGAACTCAGGTCATCAAGTTTGACAGCAAGCACCTTTACCTGCTGGGTCATCTTGCTGGCCCCCTCTTTACTTTTTCAGAAAGGGTCTCATTAAATAGTTCAGGCTAAACTTGAACTCCCTCTGTAGTTCAGGCTGGCCTTGAACTTGTAAGCCTCCAGTCTTAGCCTCCTGAGTATATGGGATTACAGGCCTCCACCAACAGGTCTAGCTAAAGACTTTTTTACTCTTAAATACTGAGGATTCAAGGGACAGGTGTGGCGGCACATGCCTTTAATCCCAGCACTCGGGAGGCAGAGGCAGGCGGATCTCTGTGAGTTCAACACCAGCCTAGTCTACATAGTGAGTTCCAGGACAGCTGGGGCTACAGGGAGGCCCTGTCTCAAAAAGACCAAAAAAAAAAAAAAAAAAAATTGAGGATTCAGCACTGGGCGTGGTGGTGCATGCCTTTAATCCCAGCACTCTGGAGGCAGAGACAGGTGGATCTTTGTGAGTTGAAGGCCAGCCTGTTCCAGGTCAGCTGGAGCTACAGGGAACTCTGTCTCAAAAAGACCAAAAAAATAAAAAAAAAATAAAAATAAAAATTGAGGAGCCAAATAGTTTTTATTTATGTAAGTTATAGCTATTGATTAAAAGCTATTGATCATGCTATAAATTAAAAGGTGAATTTTATTCATTACCATTAAAAATAATGCCATGTTAATGTAAATAACATTTGAGAAAAATAGATTTTCCAAAGCAACAAAAAAGCCCTTATTTTCCATTTTGGAAGTTTCCTTCTTTTTTTTCTTGGTGCTATGTCTTGAACCAATGCCTTATGTAACAAATCCCATACATGTTTGCTGCTTTAATCTGCTCAGGCCACCATAACAAAATATTATACACTTTTGGTGGCTTAACCAATGGAAATTTATTCTTCAGTTCTGGAGGTTTGAAATGCAAGATCAAGGTACCATCCAGGGAGGTTTAATTCTGAGGTCCTCTTGTTATGTATGTGATCACCATCTTACTGTATATGCTTACTTGATTTTTTTCTATGTGCTTACTAGGAGAAAGATTGAGCTCTCAACATTTCATCTTATGAGAACACTAATTCTACTGAATCAGGATCCTACCCTTTCAACATCATTAAACTGTTACCACTTCCACAGAGGACTTCCAAATACAGCTGCCCTGAGGGTTAGAGTTTCAGGCCATGAATTTTGGGAACACATATAGTCAGTCTATAACATCTGGCTTCTATTCTGAATCTGATATATAATATGTGGTGTTAAAACAGTGACCAAAACCAACTTGGGGAGGAAAGAGTATTTCAGATTATAAGCTAGCCCATCACTGAGGGAGGCCAGGACAGGAGCTCAAGCAGGAACCTGGAGGCAAGAAGTGAAGCAGAGACCATGGGAGAATGCACTGCTTGCTGGCTTGAGCTGCCTACATGTTTTTAATCTGTTACACAGGAAAAAGTGAAGGTGCCAGAAGAAGATAGCTATTTAAACTTGCTAAACTAGCAACTCTTGATTTTAAATTCTAAGCCAACAGTCATGGAATAAAGTTGGTTCCCATTTTTTTGCCAAGTAAAATGCCTAAGATTTTGATAGTACTTTCCTTACCATTTAGCTCTCTCTCTCTCTCTCTCTCTCTCTCTCTCTCTCTCTCTCCCCCCCCCCCCTTTTTTTTTCTTTTCTTTTGAGACAGGATCTCCCTGTAGCTCCAGTTGGTCTAGCACTTGCCACGCAGACCTGGATCTCACAAACCTTCACCTGTCTCTGCCTCCCTAGTGCTGGGATTAAAAGCATGCACCACCATGCTCACCCTCTTAGAGATCTTTCTCTGGAAGTTTTGGTTTTGTATTTCAGTTGGTGAAGTTACTACAGATGGACCTGCAAGTAAGGATCTTAATATGCAGCATCTCCAAGGCAAAAGTAGTATGAAATACAAATTTATAACCAAAAGGTCATGTAACAATGCACCCTACACAACTGGCTCTCAAACATGCTTATTTTATTGAAATCAAAGCACACATTTCTTCAAAATGACTCAACTGATTAACAAAGAAATAACCAGAATCAATTTTATACTCACTAATGCTTTTTGGTTACTTTTATATTGCTTTTTAGATCCAACAATGATGCTAATGACCTCCTGTCACTATGACATTCACTTTGCGTTACCACTGACTTCCTTTTAATCAGGCAAAAGACCTAAACAAGGATTCTGATGGTAAAAAAAGATCCACTTTGTAACCTCATGGGGTTTATAATCTAGAGGAGTAATAGAATTACTAAGCAACTGATTACCCAAATCAGCTATGATCAGAAAGTACAGAGTGTCAAGAGAATAACTGAGTGACAGACAACCTGAGTGGTTAAGGCTGTGAGGAGGTTTACACTATCAGAGCTTCTTGACTAATTGTTTAAAAACATAAACCAAGGGCTAGAGAAATGGCTCAGTGGTTAAAAGCACTGGCTGCTCTAGTAGAGGACCTGGGTTGGGTTCCCAGTACCTACATGGTGGTTAATACCATCAGTAACTCCAGTTCCAGGGGATCTGACACCCTCTTGTGATTTCCATAGGCACTGTATGACAATAGGTTATACACATGCAGGCAAAACACTTGTACACATAAATAAAAAAGTAATAAATAAAAATGTAAACCAGTTCAAGTCTCTTTCCTATTTAATACTACCACCAGCCTCTCACTTCCATTCAACTTGGTCTGGTCCCTTCCTAGACTCCAATCTTATTTTAACACTTTCCCTTTCACTCCAGCCACATATTCTTCCTACAATGGCCAAATTTGTTTCCACAAGGCTTTGGGTGTCTTTTTCCCTCTGCCTCAAATATTATCTCCAGGCCTTCCAAAACCTGCTTACTTCATCTGAGCTTAAAGGTTTCATATGGGAAGTGATTCCTATTCCAAATCAAAAATAGAGCTCTCAATTCATTCAGTTTTTACCAAGTCACCATTTTTTGTTTTTCACAAAATGTTTTGTTTGATAAACTGAAAATTTAGAGGACAATTCTCTCTCTCTCCCTCTCATTTGATTTTAAATAATTCCTTTGACTTTCTCCTTGTCACTTATCCAAGGATTTTTTTAAAATAACTACACAGCATTGGACCAGAAACTTTGGAGATGTTAATACATATTCATTATATCCTATAATTTTGCAGGATATATAAAATGTAGAATTCCTCACATAAGGCAAGAGCTGACTATCAAAAAGAATGAAATAAGCAACCATGATACATGCACTATGGAGATCAGGAAGAATTGAAAAAAAAAAAAACAAAAAACCTGATGTCTGAAACAAGTAGCGTAGGATTTTGGTAGATGGTTTTGGGGATAGATGACATTCCATGATGAGAAAAAAATTATAAATATGATAAGGCAAATAGCCAGGTTCTATTTGGAGCCAAGAAAATACCAGATTTACTACAGTTGAAAATTGAGATTAGTAAAACGGCTAAGAAAGTGCATCCTCAATGTAGCTGAACGGTTTGGATTTTATTTCAGTCAGTGAGAATACTATGAAGAATATGGGAAGTGCTCAAAGTAGCATTTCTGAAAGATCAATCTACTGATTGGAAGAAAAACGAGCAAAGGCCCAGAGACTCATTCATGGTAGTCCATGAATTCATGAATACTTAAAGACTAGGATGTAAACAACACATGAAAAGTATAACAACACATGAAAAGTGAAACAACACACAAAAAGATCCCACAGGGCTTGGCTAAAGATTGAAAGCAAAGAAGAAAGGAAAGCATTAAATGTAACTTTTGAGGGCCAGTGAAATGGCTAAGCCAGTAAAGATTCTTGTTGCCAAGCCTTATGACCTGAGTTGGTCCCTGGGACCCACATGGTAGAAAGAATCGACTCTCACAAGCTGTCCTCTGATCTTTAAATGTGCACGTGCACGCGCACGCACAAATACACACAAATAAATGTTAAAAATTGGTTTTTAAAAAGTAACTTAATTTTGGATAAACACATATGGAAATAAAAGGAAAAGTCAGTTTGAGGAGAGAAGAGTCGCTTACCCATGATATCTAGATGCTTGAAAAAAAAAATTTAAAAAGCCAAAAAAAGTTTAAGTAATATGAATATGGCTGTCCTGAGCTCGGAAACAAAGCCAGTATTAAGAAATCTCCACGGAGAGGACTGACCAGTCATCGAAAATAAAATGGCAAAGACACAAGTAACATCAGTAGGTGAACTACCCTGGGAGGGCTGTAGCAGAGAACTATACTGTCAAGGGCAGATACCTTGAAAAAGGTAGCATTTTAGGACTGGAGGAAAAGGAGGACAGCACTGTAACAAATGACTACCAGAAACTTGAAAGAATTCAGAGAAATGTCAGTAAAAGAAAAAAAGGGTAAGGAAAAGATGTAGGTGCACAGAGTAAAACTGTCACAGTTAAAAGTGTTATCTCCTCTAGGGACAGGTGTGGTGCCTGCTGGTTTCTCCAGTCTCAGCTTTTTTCCTCCTTTGAGAATGCTTACATTCTGTGAATTTCTCAAGAGGTCCAAGCTCTTTCTTGACTGGAGATCTTTGGAACGTGACTTCTACCATGCTTTGCAGTTAGGTCCTCCACATCCCCTAATTTCAGCTCAACTCTTACTTTTTCAGAGATGATTCCTCCCCAGAAAAAATGATATTATCCCATTAAGCACTTTTCCCAGGTTTTTCTTTGTGGCACTTAACAACTATAAAGCAATTTGTCTGTTTGTGTGATTAGTAAATTAGACTCAAGCTGCCTGAGAATTGAGGTTTCTATGTTGTTCATCTTACAACTGCCAGCCAGATACTTGGTAAATATTTGTGTATATATACATATATGCTTGAAGTTTTTACAATAAGAACGCTAAGCAAACAAAGCAAGCAGAACAAAACAGCATATTTTGAATTTTTTGAAACTAGCCATAATAGTGTGCATGGGAATTAGTCATTTCTAAGTTATCAAATCTGCAGGGTGGGCAAAAATCCAAAACTGCAGAAAAGAACAAAGGTAATTTTACAATGTTATACCAATGCTTAGTGTGTAAAGTGCTGCAATTCTAATGAAAAGGCTGATTTTTCCAGAATATATGGAGACACTACACAGATACTGAAGATATGAGTGATCAGATGGAAAACAGAGCTGGCATCAGGGTCTCAGAGCTTGGCTACGCTACTCCTCCCAGCAGAAGCCGAGTAGCTTAGGCAGATGCCATTCATTCATTACTTTGTTCTTGGAAAAGGAAAAAGAACGACTTAGAAAGGCGATGCCAGGCTGGAACAGAAGTTACTCTCGGAACTTTGAGGGCCCAGAAGCCCTGGGGCCCACCCCATCGGCAGCTGGCAGCCTGGGTGTGGAATCAATTTGGATCTCGGCAGCACCGCTTTGATTTCCTTTCCTCGGGACCAGGAGCCAGGTCTCAGGGTGGGACGGCCGGGAACTGGGCGAGGTCGTACCTTGCTTGACTCTAGGCTCCCGGGCGCTGGGAGGGCCGGCAGGGACCGGCCTCGACACAGGCTTCTTGCTCTGGGCTTCCCCAACCGCTCCGGCCTCCGATCTGGCTCTGGCAGCAGACACTGCGGCCCGAACCGCCGCAGCTCCCGGGGCCTTGTTCTTCTTGTTTTTGCCGCCCATGTTGAGGCTGCAAATTTTCCAGATCAGACCGTTGAACCAACACAGCAGACGCCGGGGCAGACCTTCACGTTAACCCGGCTCCCATCCTCCTCCATCCGGGCTTCTGCGCCCGGGCTACGGCTCAATTGGCTGGATTGACCAGGCTCCGCCTCTCGGCTCCCGACCTCGGGAACCTAAGGCTTCCGGTGGTGCGCGCCGCGTGTGGCGGTGTTTCTAGTCACTGATCTGCCCAATCCGCCGGGGCCGAGAAAGAAAAGAAGGGGCAAACCTCCACAAACAGACTAAAGGCGGAAAGAAGGGCCTCCAGCTTTAAGATTTTTGTCTCCGACCGGCCACTGTAGAGCCTCTATTTGGCGTCACTGGGTGCAGTCGCGGGGCATCTTGGGTAGGAGGGAGATTTGGTCTCGGAGCTCGGAAAAATGGCGGACGCTTTCGGGGACGAGCTGTTCAGCGTGTTCGAGGACGACTCGACCACTGCAGCCGGAGCCAAGAAAGACAAAGAGAAGGAGAAGGGGAAATGGAAGGGACCACCAGGGTCTGCGGACAAGGCCGGGTAAGGAAAACTTCGAGATGTTTTTGTTTTGTCTGTCTTTGGTGTGGAGGAAGGAAACACGACTCTAACGAGCACAGAAAGTGGGAGTGCGTTGAGTGGAGTTGGGAGGTTGAAGGGGTTTGAGAACGAAGTTGGAGAGGGAGGAAGAATGTTGATTTGGGGAAATACGGTCTTGACGTTGCCGCTTGTCCTTGGACCGGCGTGAGGTGTCGCCGAGACACTTCTTTAGGCCACCGTTGCTGGCCGTCAGCCCAGTTTCGCAGGGCAGGTAAGGTTTTTCTTTGGGGTTCTGTGGCACCAGCACTGTCCCTTGCTCGTAGTCTTTAAAAAGCTAAGAACTAGTTGAGTAAAGGGCACAGAAGCATAAGGAAACGATTTTGAGCAGTGAGCGCAAATAGCCTCAAAAAGGAGAGATTTAATCGGCGAGCTGTGGGCTTCAAAAAAAAAAAAAAATGCATTCAAGGTCTAGCAATGTACGTCAGACTGGCCTCGATCTCCTGATCCTGCCTCAGTTTCCTCGGCGCCTGAATTACAGGAATGGCCCACGGCACCCAGTCAAATTAGTTTTGTTGCCCATAAAGTGGAGATTTAATAGTACTATCTGTCAGTGATGGATAATGTGTTTAAGTGCTTAGCAACGTAATGAAATCAAAGAAATGCAAGCCGTGGATGAGTAAGCTTATTTAGAAAAAAATGTAAATGGACTCTAAATACGTGTAGACTGCTGCATAGCACCATAATAAAATGTGTTTATACAAGGGAAAACTGTTACTTGAATTAAGCAAAATAAAGTGACTCTTTTGTTGTTGTTCTAAAAGGTAATTATATAGCCCAAGTTGGACTACCTTCATGGTAGACACAAGAGCTCAGCACTCGGTCCTAACAACTGAGGGACCTATGAGTTCCAAGATGGCCTGTGTTCAAGGAGCCACTGGAGGAAAAACATACAGATGGACCACAGAAAGAAAAGTGGACCTTAGCACAGGACGAGTTTCTCATGTTTACTCTCCAACTTGGGAGCCCACATCCATTTCACTACAAAGAGTGCTGCTGACGGCTCCAGCATTAGGATTGCCAGATCTAACAAAACCTTTCATCCTATATATAGATGAAAATAATGGGATGGCAAAAAGAGTCCTTACTCAGACTCTGGGACCCTGGAAAAGGCCAGTGGCTTATCTCTCAAAGAGACTGGACAATGTGGCCACAGGCTGGCCCCCATGCTTGAGAATCATGGCGGCAATAGCATTCCTGGTAAAAGATTCAGATAAACTCACTATGGGTCAGCCCCTGACTGTTATAACACCACGTGCAGTGGAGTTTATCATTAGACAGCCTCCTGACAGATGGTTGTCAAATGCCAGAGTGACCCATTACCAGGCATTATTATTAAATCCAGAAAAGATCAAGTTTGGTAGCCCTGCCACCTTAAACCCTGTCACGCTGCTACCAACTCCCCAGAAAGACACTGAGATTCCCCATGATTGTCAGCAAATACTTGTGGAGACCCATGGGACCAGAGAGGACCTCACCGACCAGCCCCTAACAGATGCAGATGTCACCTGGTATACGGATGGGAGCAGCTTTCTGCGAAATGGTGAACGTAAGGCAGGGGCAGCAGTGGTCGATGGGGAGAAAATAATTTGGGCCCAAGCTCTGCCGGCTGAAACTTCAGCCCAACGGGCTGAATTAGAAGCCCTAACCCAGGCCCTAAAATTAACAAAGAACAAAAAGGTTAACATTTACACCGACAGCTGCTATGCGTTTGCCACAGCCCATATACATGGGGAAATTTACCGGAGGCAGGGACTCCTCACCAAAAAAACAAAAGTGGCTCTTCTACAAGCCTTGTACTTGCCAAAAAAGGTCCCATCTGGTAAAAAAAAAAAAAAAAAAGAGACACAACCAGAGACTAACTGGGAAGTAAATTTTACTGAAATCCTCCCAAGAAAATGTAGTTATAAATATCTTTCAATGGTAAAAAAAACTAATCAAAAACATTTTCCCTCGATTTGGACTGCCTAAGGTAATTGGGTCTGATAATGGCCCAGCCTTCTTCTCCCAGGTAAGTCAAGAAATGGCCAAAGCACTAGAGATTAATTAAAAATTACATTGTACTTACAGACCCCAGAGTTCAGGACAGGTAAAAAAAATAAATAAAACTATTAAAAAAACCTTAACCAAATTAGCTTTAGAAACTAACACTAAAGACTGGGGTTTTTTGTCCAAAGCCAGTAAATGATTTTCTAGCCTCTGGGTAACCTTTAACAAATCTTCACATACCTGCAACATCCCCCCACATTTACAACACAGCTGTGGCCCATGCTTCTGCTTGGCCTGGCCGGCCTCTTTTTAGTTACAGATTTTATGATCCATTGAATGACCCACATGACTATCACTAACCCCATTAAGTGTGATGGAATCAAACTAAAGCCCCCCAGGTTAAAGTAGATTTAAATCAAATTCCCCAGACTAAAGAAAAATATTCAGAACAAGGAAGTAAGAAGTAAAATAATTCTAACTGTTGAGAAAGAGCTGACCTTTTCATGCTCCAGACATCAACAGAGACTCCCCCCGCCCACACTGTTGCCAGCCCCCGCCCACTATTGCCAGTTGCTGCCGGCCCCCTTCCACTACTGCTGGTTGCTGCCAGCCCCCTATTGCTGGTTGCTGCTGGCCCCCTCCCACTGCTGCCGGTTGTAGTTTGTGGTTTTTGCCTTTAAAAGTCACCTGTAAGCTGAGCTCGGGGCTGCTGTTCTCTCACTCTCCTTCTGAGTGAGGCAGGAGCCTCCTCTGCGCAAACGATTAAATCCTCTTGCTTGTTGCATCTCCTGGTCTGAGGACTGAGTTATTGGGGTGCGGCCTCCCGTGGATGTTGGGTACTCCAGCCTGGGGGTCCTACACTTACTGTATCTCAGAGTCTGACTGAAGTCCTGATTCTCCTGCCTCCACTTCTCAAGTGCTGGAATTACAACCTCGAGCCACCACACCTTGGCTCTTTATTTACATGATAGGAATAATTAGTAGTTGCTGGAGTATATAAGTAGGCAACTGATATTTTGACAATAGTTGTATGATTACCCACTTTATGCATTTCCTCAAAATGACTGTGGCACAGTATTCCGTTTGCAATACAGTAGAGAGGAGCTGTTTAGTGGCCTTCCAAAGTGAAGCTTAGAAGGAAATACATCTAGTTTGTACTTTAATTTTATTAGGAAATTATGTGAACTTTAAAGAAAAGCAGTAGAACATTAGGAACCTAAGAGATTTTTATTATCAAGATATTTAAGTGGAACATTTATAGAAAGAAATTATAACTTGCCTGGTTATAATTGTGTACTGCCATAGTGTGACTCCTGTCTGATCTGTGCAACACAAGAAGGCAAATCATGAAAATTTAGAGGAGCTTGTCCTATATACTTAATACACATTATAAATGCGCTTTTTTTTTTTTTCACAAACTCTTATCAGAAACCATTGGGGCCTAGAAGCCATCTCAGTGTTCAGAAAATTTTACATAAAAATAATAACAGCAGTTACTTCTTACTACTTGGCCTCCCATGTTGGACCTTGGGCAAACTGTCACAGTCTAGACTATTAATTCTGCATCAAGATAGTCACACTAGAACTGGCTCAGAGGTTAAGAGCACTTGCTACACAGCCAAGAGGACTGGGGTTTGGATTCAAGCACCCACATAAGAAACCAGGCATCTTCTGTAACCTGTAACCCCAGCTCTGAGGTGGGCAGAGCCAGGAGGATCGGTGGCACTTGCTGGTTTCTAGGCCTAGAAGAGAAAACATGAGCATCGGGTCAGGAAGAGACTCTGTCTTGATGGAATGCACAGAGAATGATGGTGAAAGACGCTTGACATCCTCTTCTTGTCTCTGTGCATGCATACAGGTGTGTGTACCCACATCCACACATATGAACACACAGGCACAGATGTAACACAGATAACACAGACACACATACACAAAAAAAAAAAAAAAAAAAAAAAAAAAAGAAAAGAAAAAAAATCCCAAACACCCAGAGTCAATGAGAATTGACAAACTTTGCATGTGAGTGTATGTATCAGGAATGCTGTGGACTGGTAATTTTGCTTCAACAATATCAAGTCATGGTCAATCTTTTCCCATGCTTTCCTCACATCTGTATATATACAATTTCACATCAGATGTGTGAAATATATATGTGCAGAGGCCATAGGCAGATATCAATTGTTTTCTTTTATGGTTCTCAACCTTGTTTTTTGACACAGGGTCTCTTACTAAACTTGGAGATCATGAATGTGGCTAGATGGGCTGGCCATGAAGCACCAGGGAACCTTCTGTCTCTGCCTCCCCAGCAATGAGATTATAGACCACTACTGTGCCTAACATTTAGGAGGGTACTGGGAACAAATTCAGGTCCTCATGCTTATGTAGCAAGTACTTTACCAACTATACCATCTCTCCAGCCTCTTCCCCACTTTAATTTTTTTTTTTTTTAATCTGTCTTGGAGTGGGAGTAGGGAGTAGGTGTACATGCTACAGCATATATGTGGAGGTCAGAGGACAAACTTGAGGGAGTTGGTTCTCCACATCATGTGGGTTTTGGG